AAATATTTAGCATATAGTCACGACAATATAAAAAAAAGTTATATTAAAATATATTCCCAACAAAAATAGAAAATATATACTTCATTATATTCATAAAATATATACTTCATATATTTAAATATAGCTGTTGCAAATATACTTAAATTCGTATGTATATATTTTAATTATATATTTGCCGAAAATATTTTGTTGGTAAAAAACGTAAGTCAAATACTGCAAAAATTGGACAAAATGCTTAAAATTTAAAACAAAACGAAGCTTGAGAGTAGCAAAATTTTAGAATTATGATCCAATACCACCTCACTGGTATCAAAGTTTAGTGTTGGCAGAGTTGAATCTTCTAAATAATTTGAAACTTCTGTCGCCTAAATGACAGTAACTAACCAAAGTAACTTAATTTTTTTCCTTATTTATCTGAAACAGTAAAAAATGTTTAAGAATTACTAAAACACTTTTCTTAAAAACTACTCAATATATTTAAACTAATTTTGTTGAGGTTTAGTATGTATCTAGTGAAGAAAAAAATAATTTTAACAATTGAAAAACTCATGGAAGATGTTGACATTCGTATTGTAAGTGACATAAATGTATTTACTTACCAAAATGATTAATAAATTCAAGAATTATTTCGAAAATGAAAATTATTTCAAGCGAAACACGACATTTGACAGCTAAAATAAGATCTCAACTCAATATACAATTTAAATAATCACATTTAAGTGTTTCCCAGCAAATTTTAATTTACTGAATTATGTCAAGAAAAAAAAGAGTACTTTATTTTAAATTACAGGGAAAGAATTGATGCTAGTAAATAATGATACAAGAAAAAAAGTATTTTAAGAACTTTAAAATAGTTTTTTTTAGTCACTGTACTTTTTACTTTTTAATAAGATGCTGAGTGATAGTGAGAGTGAGATAGTTAATTCAACATCAATCCATTTTCAAGTTAATCGAATTCATAATCATTTATGAAAGTATCATGTAATTAATTTTAAAGAATTACTGGGATCATCAACTCTATAATTAAAAACAAGCTTCATTGGAAGTTTTTTGTTTTCTCTTGCACTATTTGTGGTGCCTGCTTCGGGACCAGGATCTTTGCAGTTTTTTTTCATCAACTTTGCATTATCCTTTTCTCCAGTTTCCTTATCCACATCCTCCTCCTTATTATTTTCACTCGATTTATCTGAAGTATGTTCACGATCAGTTTCATTATTTTTCTTTAATCCTTTCAAATATGGGTGACCATCAACAATTACAGCACCGTTATACGCAAGTTTATAACCAATAAGACGAAGAGCTAAGGCAAAAACAGCATCGGATATTGCAGATTTTAAACCAAACCCTAAAGAAAAAAACTATAAATAAACTGAAATGAATGTGAGGTTTAATGGCACTAAGTTTTAGTAAGACTTGCTATACCAAACCAATAACTAAAAATAGATAATTATGTTATTAATATTTAAGTAAGAGGAAAAACTGTCTAACTGCTACTAAGTATGAGTAGGAAAAGAACTTAAGCAAATATCAGGATCATGGGATTAGTGGTTACCTCATGAAGAACAATATAGCTAATGACAAACCCTGAATGGCAAATTCTCTTTCATTGGCATAAATAATTTAGAACTTAAAGCTTAGAGAAAAGTGAGCTCCAGTAAACCTAATTTAAAATGATGTTTAAATGTTTGGTTTAAATGAAGTTTAAATGTCAAGTAAACATTTTTTTTTCAGCGTTTTTTCATTCTGAAAAAAGGGTTTCAAAATGTCAAGATGCAAAAAAAAAAAATCAGAACTACACAGTATGGAAGTAATCCTGTCATAATGTGTTTAAATTTCAATATTTTCAAGACATTTTTTCAGCATTTGAAATTTAGGGTTTACTTTAGGTTTAATATAAGTTGCTTTTTTAATAACTGTAAAGTTTAAAATACCAATGGAAGTGAAACAAAATTTGCCATGCAAAGTTCCTCTTGCACTATTGTATCCTGGTATAGAGGTTAATTCTTATAGAAAACTTTATTTAAAAATCAATGCTTTTATCCTTGCTGTGGTGAGTGGGCTTGTATGTGTAAAGGACCTACTCCACATACTGAGACGGGACACTCATGTCGGACAGGTCACCAGTTAGACACCGGACTAAACACTGTCGTCCTTAAGATTGGGGTTTTGAGCTATGGGTTGACCACCCTATCCTCCAAAAAACCCTCTGAAACACACTCACAACATAGAAATTCCGGATTTACTGAGGGTAAACACTTAAACCAAATAAAAGAAAACAGTGCATAGAACTATATATTGGAACATGGAATGTTATAACATTTCTATCCAAAAGAGAAAGATATTACTTAATCTAGAACAAGAAGAAAAGGCATTTCTATTTTCCAAGAAAGAACACCTTTCAACCTAGATCAACAAATTGTAAAGATAAAAAGGGAAGTATTATTACTGATTTTTGTTTATAAATGTCATTACTTTTTTCCCTTTTTTATTTTTTTAAATAAATAAATAACAGAAATTTTTCTCTAATTTTCTCAAAAATAAAAACAATTAATTTATGGAATTCAAAATAATGATTAAAAGATCAAATAACTTACATAGATTGAGATATACTTGAAATGTAATGAGGATATGGCTAAAAACATTTACAAAGAAAAACTATCTACTTAAAAAACTAACTACCTAAATACCAAAAAAAATTGGTTTAAAAATAATCATCAAATTTTATCAAATTATTATACTTATGTGCATTATAATTATTAAAAATATTATATAATATAATTATAAATTTTAAAAAAATCTTTTTATAGCAAGGTAAAAATTAAGAATCTTTTCCTTTTATTCATAATTTATTTTTGTTAATAGATTAAGTTCAGAACGAAAATTGAAGATAAAAATAAAACCAAAAAAGCAGCGATTTACAAGTAACAGTAGCCCTACTAAAATTAATTGACAAGAAATATTAAATTTTAACAGACAAAAACAGAGGGAGAAAAGTGATGAAATAATGTACTACTATCGCTAAGTAGCAAAAGTCCTATTGAAACTAATTTACAAGAAACGTTAAATCCCAACAAAATAAAATACACCAGCGAGCACAAAACAACGTTAAATCCCTGTGAAAATAATATTTATGAAACGTAAAATACTGGAGCGAAAAAGGGTGCATAAAGAAACTGTGCATTGCGTTCTACAATTCAACCCCAATTCTCGCACGAAATTGTGACATCTGATTTAATTCGCTCTTTAATCTCTTTATCTTAATTTACTCTTTAATCTGATTTAATTCGCTCTTTTGATTTAATTTGTTAAATCGGTTTTAGAGAAATTTTATTGTAATAATTTTACTTTTATCTCCGTATACCTCCCTGGGGTGGGTCGGAGTTCAACCAATCTTATTGATGTTTTAATTCGCTCTTTGCATTACAAAATGCATTTGCATTGCATAATTTACATTACAAAACATACATAATATTTGTATCAAGACGAAGTTAAAATCGTCTTCGTCAGCGCTGTAACAATAGGGCTTGTTAAATCGGTAACCGATTTCTGATGCTCGCAAGAAACGAAAGCAGCTATATCGGTCTAGCTATGCATGCATTAAATCGATAATTCATGATATATCGATTTATCACACAGTCCTACTTAAGATAGTCAAAATTTACCACAATCAAGTAATTTTCTCCGGAACTTATCCTTTACCGTAGATGATGAAAAACCTATTACAATACAGTAGTACCTAAATTTCTATATTTCGTACCTATTACCATAATACGAATAATACAATTATTATTACAGTAGTATATAAGTTAGTATAGTTGCACCAATTACTACATTAAAATTTATTCACATTAACGTAATAATCAGTTTTAGACATAATTTAGTGATTGACACTAAAATTAATTAAGAATTACTGTCATCAATAATATAAAGATGGTGATTATTACGTTTCCCTTTTTGAATCAGTACCTTTTCTATGTCGATTTTGTTTTTTTAGTACTAACTTTTAGTGAATAACTTTATTTCTTTATTTCAATTACCATTGAATATAAATTATTTAGCTGTATGAAACATATTTTAAAAGCAGAGCATTAAACAAAATAATCACATGATTTCAGACAACTTTAGAAATTCTAATTTAGTGACATATTGTATCCACGTGCCATTCACATTGATTACTGAACTTGAAAAAAAGTAATTAAACAATAAGGAATGCGTAATAAAATCTTAAACAAAATAATCTGTAGTTTTATTTATAACAGCGGCTTGAAGCAAATGCAAAAAAAAAATCATTTTTCAAACATCTCTCATAAGGGGGCTAATTTAAATTTTTAAACAATTTATAGGACCAGGAATTAAAATTGCTGTTTATAGTCTATATCTTAATTTCAAAACTTTAGCACAACTGGTTCTGGAGTCATAATAGATTTAGCAAAGTGTTCCCGCACCATGGACTGAGAAAAATACTGAGTAAGCACAAAAGGAGAATAAGGAAAATAAAATAGATTGAAATTAATAAATAAATTCAAACATGAAGACATTTAAACATGTAGAAAACATCTAAGATGACTTTTTTTTTATGTTTCTTTTTTTCTGGTGTTTCTTTTTTTTTCCTTCTAGATATTGCAAGTTACTTCATTGAAATAATTGAGTGGAGAGAAAAGAATTTGCAAAAGGATTACAAACAATTGTAGTAACTTGTGGGAAAAAATACCATGTCAATTAAGGAAGCCATTCATAAGATATAAAGTAATGTTGAATTTGAAAAAATGAGTTTAAACATATTTTGCTTTTTTCCTTATTAAAAAACCATAAACTTTCTCACACAAAATTTGAAATGGTTGAAAATTTAAAAAAAATTACCCCATGAATGTTCACAAAGAGCAGAATAAATTAATTGTGATCCAAATAGAACCAATCATTAAAGTACACAGAGTAGATTTTAAATTTTTCACATAAAGGGATAACCAACACAACACTTACATCCATCATCCTTCCTGGTGCTACTTTCACCATCCTAAAACAAATGGAATTATTAGCAAAACAAATAATGATAAAAAATTATTTATACTGATAACAGTTTAACTCACATCATAATTTTAGGGTTCCCAAAGGGATAATAAGAACCATTTTCAGATAAAACGTGAAATTAAGGAGACCATTTAGGTTTAAAAAAATTTCCGGATAACCATTAAAATTTTTTAAAGAAGTCAAGAAAACCATTAATAGTTAATAAATGATTTAATTTGTCTTTTTTAAGGAAATAATAAAAATTAGTTTGAGGAGACACATACTAACAAGAGAGAATTTTTTGATTAAGTTTCATAAAACAGTAAAGTCTGAAATTTTTAAAAATTAAAAAGGTTCACTAAGGAGAATTTAAATGAAAACAAACCAATTGTAAGTTCGCAAAGTTCATTTAATATTTTACACCTTTAATACTGGCAACAGAAACTGAATAATAATAAATAATAAAAAAGCAAATTATGTGTAACAGAAAATAGTCAACTTAGAATGAGGGAGAATCAACTTTTGTGCAATTTTTGCCGTTATGTTATGAAGGGAAAAAATGAAATTAGAGAAACTCTTTTTTACAACTGGGGAATTTTTTCCACTACAAAGTACCTATTATTAATAGCTTTCCTTGGTCTTATCATAATCATTTTAATTTTTTACACTGAACTGATAAAGATGTGTCATTAATTAGGCAGATAATCAGAAAATCATATTAGATACATAAATAATCTCTTAAAATTTTATTAATTATTGAATCACAAACTGAATCAAACAATGAAATTACAATCTTCCATAAACACTAAAAATTGTAACATTACAAAATTGAAAAATTTATTAGAAAATCTCATTAGGAAATATTATCTTAGTTTGAGATAAGATTTAATATTGGTTATTTCAATAACTTTTCAACAAAAAAATAATACATTCTAAAAACAATTATCAAAGGTAAATTTGTAAAAAGTCCCTCAATTCACCACATTGATAAATTTATGATGATTGAAATGTTAATTTTAAATATTTCTAAATAGAATGACAATGGAATTAATCAAATATTTAAAAATGATATATCTAAATCATATAAGATTTGTCACTACACTAGCCAATAATTTGGATTAGTAGATAAATAAGACTTTTTCTAATTGATAATACAAAATTATTTAAGTGCTGAAACTTTTAAAAACCACAAATTTGGTCTGATAAATAAGAAGCCTCAATATTTTTAGAGTAAGTGGACAGTTTTCAGTTGCAAATTTCTTGCTTTTAAAATTGCAAATAAAATTTATAGACATGATACAGCAGGTTTGAAAAAAATATGCTGAAGTTTACATGATTACATAAAACTTCAAAAACATTTTCTTCAAACTTCAAATTTACCTGCATTAAAATAACTCTATTACGGAATCATTACGGTAAATATAATATAAATTAAATTTATATATATATTTTTATAAACAAATATTTAGTAATTTCACTTTAAGCTATATGATACTGGTTATTATTAAATCTTGTTGCTAAATTAAAAATTTTGTATTTAGAAAAATAAGGCTAACGAAAGATTGAAAGACTTTTATATAAGAATTAAATATAATAGACCATAATAAAGAAAAAAATTATTTTATTCAAAATAGGTTGAAATAAAAGTTAGGATTTTATTTTTTTGTACTTAAATACAGCTTTTTTAAGAATTCCAAAAAGAAAATTCATTACCATACAACTTATCAAACATATAAATGAAAAATGAACAGAAGTTATAAAAAATAAACGTTTTCATGCGCATTATGCGTAGCATAAATAGAAACTAGGAAGTTGTTAGGATGGAGTGTCAAATGATAAAAATAAATGGTGGCGAATTATGGAAATTTTTTGGTGCCCACTTTATTTTATTTATTTGCCATGTGAAAGTGGCAACCGCTAATTTTGCTCTTTAATCTTTACTTTCACTCTTCTGTAATTCTCCCTTCTTTTAATTAAGTTTCTTGCATGCTGCTATCCAATTGTTGCCAAAATTCGGCAACTATTTTCTCTCAGAAAAAAAATCCATTTCATATTATTAAAAATCAGCTGCAAAGTGTAAGTAGTAGAAAATTTTCAAATTGTAATAGATATGCTAAGTATATCAAAAAACGCATTCAATTTTTTTCATCAATATTTTCTGAACTGCTGTTTTGTGTGCACGTTTTCTTAGCGTATTGTTGTGTTGAAGTACCAATGTGGAAATTTTGATATCAAGTTAATTGGAGAATCCGCTTAAAAATCTTTATACTAACCATTTGTTTCTAATTTTTTATTATTGAACAAAATTGAGAAAAATGAGTTAGTTACGCAAGAAAACATAACTTTTCAGAACTCTCTGGTAGCAGGTAAAAACCATGTGTTTTAATCCATGTAATGTAATTCGGAAGTACCTTTAGCAAGAAATTTACATGCATATTTTCTTAATAGCTTGATAATTAAAAAAAATTCAAAACAATATGTGCATAAATATTCTGCTAAAAACTAAAATTACACTAATTTTTTTTTAAATAAATGTTCACAAAAAACTTACATTCTTATCTTTTTTCTCACCAGCCATCTTTATTAGACTCAATTTTTCCCCTAAAAATATAATCAAAATGAGGAAAGTTTATGTGTAATATTTAAATGAAATATATCTCGAATGAAATGTTTAAGTGTAATATTTAAATGAAGTATTATTCTAAACTAAACTGTTTAACACAGTTTATTTCAATTTAAGTTTTTTTATCAGCATACATATAAATCGATAACGTTTTAAGATAAATTATCTCTATTCATTTAAATTTCTGAAATAGAATACATTTCTGAATCTCTTAAATCTTTTATGTATTCTGCTTACTCATAGAAGTTAACTATAAAATTATTCTTACAAACTTGATTTTGCATAGTATTTTATATGAGTCATTCCTAAATGCAGAGGAAAGTGTTGTAAATTTAACCAATTTAAACTTTATATCATTTTTAACCAACAATTTAAAAATTTAACAGAAAATACGTGATGCATTTATCTGTAAATAATTTTTTGAAAAATAAATTCTGTCAAGAAATTTTTTTTAAAAAAATTGGTACCTCGGACCATTGAATATTATTCCTCTGATGACAGTCATTTTGATTGCTCTGCTTCTAAGCTTATTTATTAATTGAATTTAGTCATTAAAGTAATTAAAACTTCAGTGACTTATTTTAAGTCTTACAAAAAATAAAAATTTACGTATTATAAGTGCAAGCTCCGTAGTATGCAAAATCAAAAAACAATAAATAAAAAAATCAGGAGACATTCAGACTAATCAGTCGAAAATCATTCAGACAAATTTCTAAAAGAACAAACAACTATGAAAAGTTTAGCTTGCACTACTTAAAAACAATAAAGGCAAATTTTATCTAAACAAAATAATAAAATATACTATTTTTTAATACTTTGTATAGAACGAAAAGTTTCATCAGTTTCTAGTATAATTTTATTAATGGAACACGGAACCACTCATATTAATGTAAGATTAATTAATGGAAATTTTTTTGTAGCAATGTGACTTAAAAAATTAACTATAATCAATTATTTTTACCAATATAGCTTGTACCAATATTCAATTAAAATAATTTAGTACTTCATTCATTCAATAAATTTAAAGTAATATTTCAATAATCTTGACCTGAAAATACAGCAAACATATTGTTTCATATTTTAGTACAGCATAAGGAATTTATTGGATTTCCTCAGCTATTCATTATTTGAAATTTTTATGATATGAATATTGTATTGATAAGACCTATCATTTTTAAAATCTGATGAAAGAAAAGAACCAATAATAATGAAACTGATAAGATTTATTACTGCATTTGCTGAAAATGATAAATAAGCATATGATATTTGAATTAATCACCATAAAAGTTTGATAATGTAAATTTATTAATTGAGTTTCTTTATCATAAAATGATTTAATTTCCAAAACTTTTGAAACAATGAATTCTTCAGATACAGCAATAAGCCTCTAAAAATTGTATAATCAGTAAATTATCTCAAAGTTTGAACAATCATATTTTATTTAGTGATTTTTACTAGCATTATGAATTAAAATAAAAAGATGCAGAAATCAAAATAAAATCGTTTTATTCGTCAAATTAGTAATTTAATAATTCACATTTTACGTTCGTAGAAAATGAGATATTCTGAACTTTCACACAGAAAATATCAGAAGAAAAAGCTAAAATTAAGGTAATATAAAATATGATAAAAATAAATAATAAACGATATACATAAAGCAGTAATTGATGAAATGCAGGTGTATTCGATTCCATTTGAAAGCAATATGTATATTTACTATATATAGCCAATTTTCTTTTACTGGAGTGCAAATGATAAAAATTAAAACAAATTAATAAAACATTAATTTGAATAAATATTATTACAAGAAAGCAAAACATATTATTATACTAAAATTGCAAATGAACGAAAGAGAAAAAACATAAAAAGATTTTCATTCTACTCAAAAGTTACCCTTAACTGTTGTCAAGGACCGATCAAGGCAAATTCAGGCCCAATGCCCACCAAATTCTCCGGGCCCCTAACAAAATATTTTGAAATTATAAACATTATAAGAAATTTTGAAAGTAGACAATTGGAGATTATTTTTCTAAAATAAAGTTTACGTATAGTATATAAATTAAAGCAAAATATAAAACAACAAAACAATGTTATGTCAAAATAAGAATAGTTTGGTTACCACAAATAATTGAAATCAGTGATTTTTGCTAAAAGTCACTGATTAGCTGAATTACTCTTTTATTGTAAGTTGTAATTATTTTTTATTTAGTACTTAAGCCAACACAAAGCTAGCCCACCTTTCATTAGACTTTTTACAAATTTTTAAGGCCCCCCTAGAAAGTGTGGCCCTAGACCCATGCCTATTGGGCCTAGGCGATAGTCAGGCCCTGACTGTCATTCAGAAAACAAAATTTATTGCTTAAGCTACAAATATTATAACAGAATAATCTGATTACTCAAGATTTCCATATAGGTATCGGGGCAAACAAATTTGCCAAATTTCAACTACAAACTAGCAGTGGCATGCAAGAAACTAACAAATAAAAGTAACTAAACAGAACCATCTCAAAAGTTGACCCCCTAAGAGAAGCTCAAAAAAGTTTTGCGAAACTTTTTGCAAATTAAAAAACCACTACCACCTTAGTAATTCCAGTTTTTACGAACAGGTTCCGATGTAGAAATATCACTGCTTGCTCAAACAAATTGTTAAAGTCACGTAATATTTTATTTATCTATCTTTTAGAATAAGAAAAGTGTCTCTTTTTCAATTTATTTAAGAAAATTAAAAGAAATTGCATTTCACCATAGTTACTGACAAAAAAAAAATCCATTGCCATGAACAAAATTTTAAATATAAAATTATTGCAATCTGATACCCTACGAGAAAATGAAACAGATTACTTTATTCATACAGGACACGGCTAAAAAAGATTTTTCAATTGCTTTCTTTAAATATTATATTTTAATTACAACAACAACAGTTAATTACAACAACAACAATTTAATTATAAAAACAACAATTGGGGGCAGTGCATCTTCTTGAAATAGGTTTGATCCCACCCCTCTCCCTTTCTCTCCATTTCTGAGGTTGGAAAGTAGGAATGTTTTCACTTTTCATACGTGATGGTTTGTCTATAACTGCATTTTTGCACAATTTATTAACAGTTTTGTACTATTGGTTAAGATATTTCCATGAAGAATTTATTTATACCATCCATGTTGATTATATCTGCCAGCTTATTTTGATTTAGAAGAAAGGAACAAAATGGCGATTGGCAGTGCATCTAACCGACAACCAGTACAAGTAGTTTCTCTTGACTATCGCATTACTTCTTATAACGTGCAGAATCTTTGTACACGTGATGCGAAACTAAATCTGAGTATGCTGTACCCCTGTATGAGTGAGCTAATCAAAATGTTAACTTTTGCCGAAGACAATTAATTAGGAAAAACAAATGTTAAGATTTATTTTAATATTGATATCACACATTTAAGTATACAAATCAATGATAAACAATGAAAAAACTAAAATTAAAAAATAGGAATTTAGAGACAATTTTAAATTTTATTTGAGTAAGAAAATATATTTACTGTCCCCTAACTTAACTCTCTGAAGACACAAGAAGAAAATATTGATTTCCCTTTTTATGAGTCAAAAATTAATAATTAAATAAAGAAAAACACTTTAAAATATTTAATTAAAATTTTTAAGAAAGCAGGTTACATCTAAAATTTTGAAGAAATATTAAGAATTATCACTTTTATTTTTCGAATACTTTAAGTAAAATGTTATTTTTAAAGTAAGTGCACAATAATTTAAAACCATAACTCTAGTCATTTATACGCATAAGTTAGGAACACATAGAAATTGATGTATACAGATCAAAATATACAAATTATTCTAAGAATATTGATTATACATAATCAAGTAAACAACACATTATATCAGAATATTTATAATTTATCTCTGTAACTCATATCTAAAGATGTCATCATAAAGACATAAGACAGAGTTGAAGGGGTAGCCAAAGCAAAATTTATCAGTCTTTTAGATTTCGCCTAGGGTTATTGGCCACTTAAACTAAGTCCAAACGTTCAAAGATTAGCTGCTTCTGTTACCAGTTTCGGAACTTCAAGCTATTGCGACGTCCATTTGGATTGAAGAATGTCACTTATTTTTTTATTTATTTTTTTATTGAAGAATGATTTGGAAGAATTTGCAGTGTCGTATCTTAAAGATATAGCAATTTTCCTGGATACATGAGATCTTCATTTAGAACATACGTGTGTATTGCATCGGATTATTATCAAGAAACCTTCAGAATACCGTTTCGAGCAGGATGATATTCCTTATCTAAGATATATTGTCGGTCATGATTACAGACAAGCCTTTGCTTTGAAAATAAGAGCAGTAGACGAATTCCCAGTACCTATGATGAAAACTGAGTTTAGAACAATGTGGGGGCTGGACTATTATCGACGATATTATAGTCGATATATACCAAATACCGATATTTATATGCACCAATTGGATATATATATATATATATATATATATATATTTGAAATAAGCTAGGGAATGCATATCTGCATTTTCCCTGAGTCCGTCGCAACAGACATAATTTNTATATATATATAGATCAATTGGTACAACCATCTATTATAGTCGATATATATCAATGTTCTTTGTTCTAGTGTCACAATTAAATTGACACCTAAAAAAAGCATAACTAAAAAGGGGGAAATTATCTGGACAACCGAATGCGAAGTAACCTTTAAAAAAGTAAACGAAGAATTAACAAGCCAGCCTATACTTTTCTCTCCCAACTATGAGCAAGAATTTATCTTGAAAACAGTTCTATTTCCATGTATTTATTTTATGTGAAGTTAAATTATAATATTTTATTAAATTTCGATTATTTTGGAATATTATAGTTTAATATCTAAATCGAGTTGCAGGTGAATACTTTACTAATGTTTATTGCATGAGTCTAAAAAATAATTTAGTGATTTTAAGTTTTCAAATTAAATATTGTGCACAATTTCAAATTTAAAAATTGTATGTTGCATTTAATATGATAATTAAGAAATATACTTTTAGCAGTAAAATTATTTTTTGCAACAAAATGCATTGATTTTAACCTAAATGTTTGAGGAAATATGTACACAAACGAGTTCAACTTTCCCCTTGTTTTCACTGGAAAAGTTCTTCTAAGGCAGTGTTTCTTAACCTTTTTGTTATAATGGACCCCTTTTAAAAATTTTTAAGAAGTCACGGACCACTGTGAAAAAAATTATTACAAAAAGCATCAATTATTAGAAAACATTTAATTTTATTATTTTAATAATATTTAAAATTTTTAAATTTTTAATGTGAAGGTTGCTGCTGCTTTTTCTTAATTAATAAATTGGATTGGGGGATGGTATTCGACAAAGCAACGCGCATATCATGTTCAACATTCAATCGATTTCGATATTTTGATTTTATTGTCACAAGTGTGGAAAATCCAGCTTCGCAAAGATTCACTGTATCAAATGGAATTATAGCTGCCATAGCTCGCTTTACAAGCAATGCTTCCAAACATTTTAAAAATTAGGAGTAGTCAGCGGACCTCCAAAATGTGACTCATGGACCCCTTAGGGGTCCATGAACCACAGGTTAAGAAACCCTGTTCTAAGGGGAAGGAGTTACGGAGTCCTAAAAATATCCAACTAACAAAATATGTAATGTCAGCTACTTTACGCCATGTAGTGTAAAACAACATCTTGCTGTTTATCTGCAATAAGAACTATCCTTGAATCTGGGTGAAGTGAAACCCGAAGAACCAAGAGTTATCTGACAGTGTTGTTAATTATAATAATGACATTTACTTAGACATCCTAAAGACAAAGATATTTTAATTTCTTTTTCAGATTCTATAATGCCATATCTTATACTTTAATACATCAATAATTAGAAAAAAAGTAAATAAATAAAATGATATATCTCTTAAATTTTCCCCAATTTAAAGGAGAGAGAAAATCTTTCATTAAAATTTCCTTTCTATCATTCGGGTATTGATATTAAGAAAAAAATAACTTACAATATGATAAACAGGTCTTGATTTTGACAAAGAACTTATGATGATCACTTTAGGTAGGAGATTATATATACATTTTATCAGCATTATAATTATCGGGGAGATGATTTTGTTAGCGCATAAGTCAGGGAATTCCCCTACGAATTTAAACGATAATAAAACGATAATGTGTTTCAATGTTTTATCTAATCCTTAAAGTTGCATCATAAAATGTCGTTAGTAATTAAAAACTGAAATAATTTTTTTTTCACAAAATGGTTTATTTATAAGTTCTTATTACTTCGTTTCATTATTGATAACAGAGTTATTGTAAACTTAATTTTATAAAACAAAGAGGGATTTTAGTAAGATTGTATTGCATCAATAACAATAGTAAACAATATAATAACAATAGTAAATAATAGAGTACAATAGTAAATTATCCTAACTTTCTTGAATTATGTACGCATGTAGTAAATGAAGGTTATGAAGGAAAGGCATTGTTTCAAGATGAAAATCAGCAAAGAATTTGTCAATACTTATGATCTGCTTTTCCAATATTATGATCTGCTCTACCGTCATGTAAGAAAGCTATCAAGGGTGATAAAAGAGCAGTGAGTTCCAGTTTGAAAAATTTAATTTCCAAGTATTACGAATGCTATATTTTTCATTTTCAGACCTCATAAATAATAATTTTTATTATTCTAAAAACTGAACACAAAGGCAAAACCCTCGAAAAAATACACTACCCTGCAATAATGGAAGTGACATTTTTTTAAATTTCTCAAGAAATACTTAAAGGATTACTTTTCAATTTTAGAGATGTTTAGTTTATTGGTTATTTTTAATAAAAAAGAGAAATTTCGTAAACCTAGAGTAAACATTTATGGAAATATGGAAAATTGAAAGAAAAAAAAATTTTTTTCGCCTTACGTTTTTTCATTACAACTTTATAGATATTCAATAGAATTTTAAAAAAAAAGTGGAGCAATTTAAGATTAATTACAAAATTGTCGATTTAAAATTTTACTAAAATTCGTTAAAAACTACTCAAGTTATGAGAATTTAAGCTAGTTCTTTTATACAGCGCATGCTCTGAAAAAATTGTGAAAAGTTTTTTCTCAATTTTGTAGTAAATTGTATTTTGAAACTAATTAAAAAAAAATTTGATTTGAATATCTTAAAAATTTAAAACATATAAAGCAATTTTCTTAATAGCTTTTGTTATTTAAAAGAAGAAAAAAAATAATAGTGCGTGGAGTCCCTCCACGCGGAAGAAGTTAAACTTCGTAACCTGCGACGTTAATTGTAGAAGAATCAGCAGTCTTAGATGGATCACTAGTTCTATTCAACGACTCTTTTTTTCCTGCTCCGCTCGCTTCCGTGCTCTGTAATAACGGTAATATTGAGCATTTATCCCTCATGGACCTCTTGAACCAGTGGAAGTGCTTGTGGTTGCCTCATCGTCTCGCCATGGAAAATGTATTTGTATTAATAATGTATGTGAATGCGTCATAATGTAATTTCAAAAGAGAAAACCTAACAATGAATTGATATTCACAAGAGACGTACCTTGACAAAACCTTAAATCCGTCGCATTGCCCGTGGGATTGTTTTCACTCATTTTTTACAATTGTTGTCCACTAAATTTGAAAATAAAAAATACTACCCTATTAAATTATATGTGTATCAAAACAAACTAAACAAATATTTACAAAAAAACAGTACTTTTATGACTTTTATGCTAGTGAGAACCAAAACAATATGGAAATAAATGAGGGAAAACTGGATCCTACCACGTGATTTCCCAGCCAATATAAATGTAGCGTTAAACGTTTAACGCTTCATTGTTGGAAGTCGCATGAAGTATAACTTCAAAAAAAGCTTAAATCGATCAGAGGTTCTTCGCAATTTTTATTTTGCATCCTAAGACAAAATTTAATAAAAAATTATAATTCCTTGCAGTAATTGTCCAAAAAACTACACTTTGATGGTATTGAGAAAAAAAAGCATACATGGAAACATGCTTTTAAGGGGGTGATACCTCACAAAGCCAGTCTTATTTTTCATAAAAAAGTCGTATATAGTTAAAATTTGATTTCTCAGTAACTATTCAACAGATTTCGCCACGTACAATTACGTACTTAAAAACGATGTAAGAAATTGTGTACCTTATAATTCAATTTTTTTCTACTATTATTAATTAAAATAATAAAAAATAATAAATACTTACTAAAACCCATTTTTTATGTAGAATTATCTTTGGACAAACAAATTTTTTCCTTTCGCAGAGAAAGTTCTCGAGATATGGCGAATTATGCTAAATGTAAAGTTAACATTAAGGGGTCCAAACGTTGAACCGCTCTCCTGCCCAAATAATGGGGCCCATATTTCCCCGATTTCGACAACCCCCTATATTTTGGAGGTCAAAAATTCGAATCCGCTGAATAAGAAAGATATGTTTATTCAGAGAAAGTACGTTTTTGTGTCTGATTTCATAACTTAAATAATCGTCTGCACTTTTTAATTTGCATAATTGAGGTCACCCTCTCGAATCATTAAGATTGAGTCCTAGAACGTAAAGATCCAATCATTAGATGAAAAGTCATTCAGGATTTTTTTTTTTTTTTTGGCGCACTGTACAATGCGTTTAAATTATAGCAAATTCTACATGAGTTACAGAAGAAAAAATTTTCTTTTGTTTTTAATAAATAATATAACTCTGAATCTCACTAAGTATTGTTTTTTTTACAGTGCATTTTTGTTATGAGTATTATAAGAATAAAATTTTGTTACGATTTGTTTTCTTGCTACGTAAATTTTATTTTTTGAATAAAATAACACTCCAGTTTGTATAATATTTACAACATAAATATTTTTAAGGATCTTATCTTTTACTTATTATAACACAAATAGGCAATATTCCTTTTCAATTCATTCTTATCAAAGACTTTTAATATTTAATAACGCAAATATTTTTAAGTATCAATATTCAATAAATACAACATATGAATTTTAAAAAAAGTTTCTATATGAAAAAGAAATTGTGATAAATTATGTATATATAATAAAATGTCATAAATATATCAAAAATAACGTTTTAAATATTTTGAAAAAAAACGGCAAAAAGAGAGAAAACAATTAATTTTTTATTTCCGATAAATTTCCTAAGTAATATCAAGATGATAAATTTTGCTTGCAAGGGACTCTTATATAGCCATCAAGCGCAGAGTTGTTCTGATAATGTGAGCACACTAATTTTATCGGAAAGTAATCAGTATTTTGATTGACAATAATAACGCCATAAATTCTAACTGTAGCTGTCGGTTGAACGGTTAAAACTAAAATTATTATCTAGAATAAAGGTTCAGTTAAAATTTCAATGCTCTAGCGGATCTTAATGCTTTCGGATTTTTGATTCCCGATGAAGTTTATTTGACAAGTTTAACTGTAAGAATTATGCCGGTAGCGGTCCAGACTTGATTAAAACTTGAATTGTCATCGATCACGAAGCTTCAGTAAAATTTTAAATGCTATAGCTCGACAAAAAGTGGTTGAAATTTTGACTGCGAGATTCTATCAACAGAAAAGCTTAAGCGAGTTATTTTTAGTTAAATAAAATTTAGTAACGTAGAAAATGATTTTTTTTTATATTAAAGATAAAAAATATTAATTTAAATGATAATAAATATTTTCACAAAATTGTAATGATAACAATAAAATGCACTTTACCTTATTATCATGAAAAATCTATTTCAGTTTCATTATAAAATATTATAAAAAACTTATATTATAACATTATATTATATTATATTACAACATAAATAATTATAACATCGCATTCTACTAAAAAAAGAAACAAAAGTTTAAAAAAAAACACATTATAAGTGTAAAGGTTCCAACTCTTGTGAAAAAAAAAATTATTTGAGGGACACTTCGTCAAAAAAAGTAATCCAATATTAACTAAGCTCCCAGTTTCTGGCAACTTTTGTCAACGAAAGTTAGATATATTAACTCTAATTAGCCCTAACAATATACTTCAAGAGTATGAAGTGTTTGCATAGTCAAAATATTTACTGTTTACAATAATAAAATCAATTACATGAGATATGGAATTGCATGAATTAGTTTTATGCGAATGACAAAATCGAAAATCAAAAATTTAACCCGAGTACTAAGATGGCGAAGGTTGAATTTTCTAAAGATACACAAGGTATTCTGTAAAGACCACCCTTAATGTATATTTTTAGAGAAAAAAAAGGCATTCCCATTGAGGTTCACAAATTAGTGAGTAAACGAGGAAAAAACTAAAACGTTATTGAAGTCTGAAAAATCACAAGACAGGAAATCAAATATAATAAACATCAAAACAGGTTTGTTCGCGGCATGGAGAGGGAGGGAAAAAACATTGGCCAATTATCAGAATTTTTGTATGTTTGTTTGTTACATTAGCCTTATTTTACAGTAATTTGCCAGTTTTTGATGAGGATTTTGCTTCCGTGTTTAATACATACGGTAGCAGCTTTATATATATATATANATAAAGAGAAAAAGAGAGAATTTTTTTTTTTCGTTTTTGATAAAAGTTTTTAAAAATGCACATTAAGAGCGCTCTTTACATAGCACCCTAAATACATATAAATATATATAACAATTGAACTTACCACCAATGTCATTGAATACTTTTTTGTAAATGTCACCTTTTTTCAGTCAGTCCATTATTTGCACTGTAATGTAACCATGGTGGTTAAAATAATTTAAATCTATTTCTTTCAACAAAAATGAAAAATGTTAAAGCATAAATTTACTATCATTCTAAATATTTGAATAAAGAATATTTGAATAAATGTAAATAATGAACTCTTGCGGAAAAGGTAGATGCTGGAAACTAATGATCTCATACATTATTTCTTTATCGAAATGAAATTTTCAAGTAGACTTAGCATGTAGCTCTATAAAGTTAATTTTTTTCACAAAATACAAGGGACTCTTTTGATTGTTTTTGGTTATTCTAGGATAAATTTTTACTTTAAAATTTAATTTCTTTTGATAAATTATCTTTTCTGTGCATTTTTTTTTTTTTTAAAGTTTTAATTTTTCAGAGCCATTTTTATTATTTTGATTTAAAAAAAAAAAAATTTTTTTACAACCTTCACATATTTTTGGATATTAAAGGATTAGTTGTAAATAAGAAAGCTTAATTAATTATAAAGTAAAACATCAACCGTATTTCTTTTCTATTGCTAAATTCATAAAGATTCCTTCAGAGGTATGAAATTTATCAGTAGAACGATTTTGTTGTTGTCTCTTTTTAACTGACAAATGAAATTTATAAATCAAAATAATCACAAATTCAAGGAAAAAATTACATTGGCAAAAAATTTATTTTCCGACCACGTTATAGATGGCAGCACGAAATAAAATACTCAAAAATTGTGAAATAGTCGTAAAATAACCTACAGGAAAAATTAAAACAGGGACATAAACAGGTAGAAAGCAAAGCTTTCTTTTCTTTTTAATTATGGATAGGGCATAATATACTAAACATGCATTAAAATATTATATGTTCATATAATATATATTATTCACAAAAAATTCTACCTAATACTTATATAACAAAAAATTGCTTCCAGGAAATTTTCTGGAATTATTTAAGACATCCGTGCTTGTCTCAATATCTTAAACATTTCTATTTTGATTTGATAGAACTGATTCTTTTAAAAAAACAATTAATATTTACCAGAAGAAAATATTATGCAACTTATTTCATATGTGTGCAATTTCCTCGAAACTATTTTGATAAATAAAGGGAAATTATCAGGATAATCATACACAATTGCAGAAGCTTTCCCCAGTTTGATAAAGTTCTCTGTACAATCATATCCTGATTCACGGATTTATTGTTTACATTTCGTTTTAGTGGAATAGAAAATTTTGTCATTCAGTGTGTTAACTAACTTCGCGTAAAAAGGTAACTTTAAATAAACCTGTAGGCGTGTGATTCGAGAACAACTTTGTCGGGACTACTTACGTAAAATCGTGAACTACTTACTTGATACTACTTTGAATCGTGAACAACTTTAAAAATAATTAGAATTTAAAACCTCTTAAAGCCTTTAAAAAAGAATTATTTCCTAAAGAACTTAAACCAACCTTATTATTAGAGATCTAATGTAACTTACAGCTTTTGACCAAAGAAATTGCAATTTAAATTGAGGAAGTTTAGGTTTAGGTAATTTAAATAATCAGTTTAATAAGTATTTTTTTATTTAATAGAATGACAAATAAAATATAGCATTGTGGAATAAATTGCTTTTTATTTTCAGCACACAAAACATTAAAATTATTTTTATTAACAGTATAAAATTTACAAATATTCCCTTAGTAACAGTACTTAGTATTACAAAATTAAGACAAATACTTAGCATAGTCACATCAATATAATAAAACAAGTTATATTAAAATATAATCCCAACAAAAATATATATCTTAGAATATTAACAGTGTAAAATTTACAAATAATTCCTAGATTAAAATATTTAGTATCACTAAATTAAGACAAATATTTAGCATATAGTCACAACAATATTTTAAAAAAATTATATTACAATATAATCCCAACAAAAATATATATCTTAGATTATTAACAGTGTAAAATTTACAAATAATACCTTGATTACAATATATAATATTAATAAATTAAGACACATATATTTAGCATATAGTCACAACAATATAAAAAAACAAGTAATATTAAAATATAATCCCAACAAAGATATTAAATATATAGCTGTTGCAAATATATTTAAATTCATATATAGTTTATAATTGTATATTTGCAGAAAATATTTTTGTTAGTAAAAAGCGTAAGTCAATAAAGGCACGTAGCTAATGTAATAACATTTCACAATTAAATTGGAGTGTGTTCAAAGTTCATTGGCATCGGCCGGGATCAAACCAAGGACACCTGGGTTTGTAGCCATATGTTCTAAACACAGGTGAAATCGTACATATCTTAGTGAACCGAAATATTGTAGAAATGCTATCTATGCTTCTTCAATGGGTCAAACGCTCCAAAAATTGGACCAAAATGCTTAAAATTTAGAGTAGCAAAATTTTAGAATTATGTCCGAATACCACCTCACTGGTATTGAAGTTTAGATTAGTCCAATGAAACAGCAGAGCTGAATCTTCTAAATAATTTGAAACTTCTGCCGTCTAAATGACAGTTAATTAGATAAAATGTTTCCCAAAGTAACTTAATTTTTTTCTTTATTTACCAGAAACAGAAAAAAAATTTAAAAATTATTAAAACACTTTTCTTAAAAACTACTTAATATATTTAAATATAATTTTGCAGAGGTTTAGTATGTATTAAGTGAAGAAAAAAATAATTTTAACAATTGAAAAACTCGTTTCAGATTTTGACATTCGTATTGTAAGTGATATAATTATATTTACATACTAAAATAATTAATAAATTTAAAAAATATTTTGAAAATAAATATTATTTGAAGTGAGGCAAGACATTTGATAGCTAAAATAATATTTTAACTCAATAACCAATTCAAATAATCACATTTAAATATTTTCACTGCAAAATTTAATTTACTGAATTATGTCAAGGAAGAAAAAAAAGATTACTATATTTTAAATTGTAGTGTAAGAATTGATGCTAGTCAAGGAAAAAAAAATTAAGAACCTTAAAATAGGTTTTTCAGTCACTGTACTATTCATTTTTTAATAAGATGCTGAGTAATAGTGAGATTTTCATTTAATTCAACATCTTTCCATTTATTAAGTGAATCCAATTCCTCATCATTTATGGAAGATGATGTAATATTGGTATCATCATTTCTACGACTAAAACCAAGCTTATCTGTAAGTTTTTTGCTTTCTCTTGCACAATTTGTTCTACCTGTTTTGAGACCAGGGTCTTTGCAGTTTTTTTCCNTGTAGATCTATAGAGTTAATTTTTTTCACAAAATGCAAATCGTTCTTTTGATAGCTTCTAATTATTCTAGGATGAATTTTTACTAGAAAATATAATTTGTTTAAATAAATTATCTTTTCTATACGTTTTTTATTTATTTTTTTGTTTTAATTTTTCTAAGCATTATTTTATTATTTCAATAGAAGAAAAAAGATAAATTATTACAACCTTTTGGATATTGAAAGATCAGTTCTAAATAAGAAATCTGAATAAGGGCAAATGCAAAACCTTTGAAACAAAAATAAATTTATACCATATCAAAGTGAGAAAAACTGAGATAGTATATTTTTATTTATCACCCTTCCATGAAAAATACGACCCTGAAAAGATTTTGTAACTCAACAATTTTTTCCTTGGTGCTGCCATCTCCAATCATAAAGAAAAACATCAACCATATTTTTTTTTTCTATTGTTGAATTCAAAAATGATAATATGACATTTGTCAGTAGACCGATTATGTTGTCGTTTCTTTTTGACTGACACAAATAAAATTTATAAATCAAAATAATCATGAATGCTTGGAAAAATTACATTGGATAAAGATACATATTTTCCGACCACGTTATAGATGGCAGCATGAAATAAAATGCTCGAAAATTGTGAAATAGTCGTAAAATAACCAACAAGAAAAACCAAAACATGGACAAACGAAGACTGGAAGAAAGCAAATTTGTTCGTTTTTTTTTTATTATTATTATTTTTTTAATTATGGCTAGTGCATGATATACTAAGCATGCATTGAAATATTACTCGTTCGTATAATCTGTTATATTTTAGATTTTCAAATTCATTACAAATTCCAAGAACTTTTTATTACTTAATGAAGTTACCATCTATTATCATTTATTACTTAATGAAGTTACCTCTCCGGACAAAAACAGAATTTAAAAGCATTATAATAACATTAATTGAAATGGTGGTTATAATCAAAACTGTTATACCTTGCATCTTTATATTTACAGATTTTAAATTCAAAAACAGAGTAACGAAAGAGTTAAAGCAATAAAATAAGTGAAAAAAAAATAAAAAAGCAAATACTCTTTTTTTCTGTAGAATTATATTCTAATGACACTTTTTCTTGATCATTCGAAAGGAAAGAAATACTCCGGATTTTTCTGTTCTCATTTCGGAATTAAAGAAAATTCGCCAATGATTGACTTGCTTCAGTTAGAATTTTAGATTGATAAAATAAATAACAAATATTCTGAAATCAATGGAGAGTTTGAAAGAAAATTCGCTCAAGAAATGATGTTTCTTCTTTCATTTTTCTGAAGAACGCAATAATTTTTAAAGAACATGATAAAAACATTGTATGTTTTAATAAAATATGACTGTGAGTGGGGATTTTGTTACTAATTCAGATCTTGGGAACATCATGAAATTGGGAGCGGGTGGGGTAAATTCAATTTTAAAAATTAGATTTTTCGGTGACCTAAATCCAGGATTTCTTTTTTTAAAAAATAGTTAAAATCATGACAAATTTTGTTCACTACCGAAATTCACGACTTTCCAGGCGAGCAGATACCCTGAATATATTATATAGTAATATATATTATTCACAAAAAAATTTTACTTAATACTTATATAACAAAAAATTGTTTCCAGGACATTTTCTGGAAATATTTAAGACATCCGTGCTTGTCTCAACATCTTACACACTTCTATTTTGATTTGATAGAACTGAATCTTTAAAAAAAAATAATAACATTTATCAGAATATATTATGCAATGTGCAATATCCTCGAAACTATTTTGATAAACAAAAGGAAATACAAATCATACACAATTTCAGAAGTTTTATCCAGTTTGTTAAAATTCTCAGTACAATCACATCCTGGTTGACAGATTTATTGTTCACATTTCTTTTTAGCTGAGTGTGAAATTTTGTCATTCATTATGTTAATTAACTTCGTGTAAAAAGGTAACTTTAAATAAACCTGTAGGCGTTAGATTCGTGAACTACTTTGTTATGATTACTTACGTCAAATCCTGAACTACTTCGTTGTTACTACTTTGAATCGTGAACAACTTTCAAAATAATTAGAACTTCAAACCTCATAAAGCCTTTAAATAAGAGTTATTTCCTAAAGAACTTAAACTAACCTTATTATTAGAGATCTAATGTAACTTACAGCTTTTGACCAAAGAAATTGCAATTTAAATTGAGAAAGTTTCAGTTTAGATGATTTAAATAATGAGTTAAATAAGTATTTTTTTATTTAATAGAAGTGACAAATATAATATAGCATTGTGGAATAAATTGCTTTTTTTATTTTCAGCACATAAAACAATAAAAATATTTTTAACAGTATAAAATTTACAAATATATCCTTAGTAACAATATTTAGTATTACAAAATTAAGACAAATATTTAGCATATAGTCAAATTAATATAATAAAACAAGTTATATTAAAATATAATCCCAACAAAAATAGATAGCTCAGATTATTAACAGTGTAAAATTTACAAATGATTCCTTGATTACAATATTTAATGTTACTAAATTAAGACAAATATTTAGCATATAGTCACAACAATATAAAAAAAAAATTATATTACAATATAATCCCAACAAAAATATATATCTTAGATTATTAACAGTGTAAAATTTACAAATATTCCTTGATTACAATATTTAGTATTACTAAATTAAGACAAATATTTAGCATATAGTCACAACAATATAAAAAAACAAGTTTTATTAAAATATAATCCCAACAAAGATCTAAAATATATAGCTGTTTCAAATATATTTAAATTCATATATAGTTTATAATTGTATATTTGCAGAAAATATTTTTGCTTGTAAAAAACGTAAGCCAATAAAGGCATGTCGCTAAATTAATAACATTTCACAATTAAATTGGTGTGTTATAAGTTCATTGGCATTGGCCGGGATCAAACCAAGGACACCTGGGTTTATAGCTGTATGTTCTAAACACTGGTACAATTGTACATATTTTAGTGAACCGAAATATTGTAGAAATGTTATCTTTTTGCTTCTTCAATGGGTCAAACGCTCCAAAAATTTGACCAAAATGCTTCAAATTTAAAACAAATTTTAGAGCTTGAAAGTAGCAAAATTTTAGAATTATGATCCAATACCACCTCACTGGTATTAAAGTATAGATTAGTCCAATGAAACGGCAAAGTTGAATCTTTTAAATAATTTGGAACTTCTGCCGTCTAAATGACAGTTAATTAGATAAAATGTTTCCCAAAGTAACTTTATTTTTCTCTTTATTTACCAGAAACAGTAAAAAAAATTTAAAAATTACTAAAACACTTTTCTTAAAAACTACTTATTATATTTAAATATAATTTTGTAGAGGTTTAGTATGTATTAAGTGAAGAAAAAAAATAATTTTAACTATTAAAAATTATTGTATATTAACTATTGTCAGATTTTGACATTCATATTGTAAATGATATAATTATTTTTACATACTAAAATGTTTAATGAATAAAAAAAAACTTTTTGAAAATAAATATTATTTAAAGTGAAGTAGGACATTTGACAACTAAAATAATATTTTAACTCAATAACCAATTCAAATAATCACATTTAAATATTTTTACTGCAAAATTTAATTTCCTGAATTATGTCGAGAAAAAAAAGAGATTACTATATTTTAAATTGTGAAAGAATTGATGATAGTCAAGAAAAAAAAATTAAGAACTTTAAAATAGGTCACTGTACTTTTCACTTTTTAATAAGATGCTGAGTAATAGTGAGATTTTCATTTAATTCAACATCTTTCCATTTATTAAGTGAATCCAATTCCTCATCATTTATGGAAGATGATGTAATATTGGTATCATCATTTCTACGACTAAAACCAAGCTTATCTGTAAGTTTTTTGCTTTCTCTTGCACAATTTGTTCTACCTGTTTTGAGACCAGGGTCTTTGCAGTTTTTTTTCGGCAACTCTGCAGTGTCATTTTCTCCAGGTTCCTCATCGACATCATCCTCCTTAATATTTTCACTTGATTCTTCTGAAGTATGTTCACCATCAGTTTCATTATTTTTCTTAAATTTTTTCAAAGCTGTGTGAGCACCAGCTACTACCGCACTGCCAGCTACGACAGCAGCTTGTGTACTTGCAGCCAATCCAGCAGCTCCAACACTTTGCATAACTGCAAAAGCACTCCCAGATGCAATAGTACCCCCAAGATATGCACTCTGAAAACCAGCAGCCAAAGAACCTGCAGCAACACCACCAGCAGTAAAACCAATAAGAGGAAGAGCTAAAGCAGTCCCACCAAGAACCGCACCGGATATTGCAGTAGTTTTTAAAGCAAACCCTAAAGAAAGAAAAATATTATAAATAAACTTAAACGAATATGAGGTTTAATGGCACATAAGTTTTAGTAAGACTTGCTCTGTCAAACCAACAATTAAAAATAGATAATTAAGTGATTAATATTTAAGTATGAGAAAAACTATGTAACTGCTGCTACTAAATCTGAGTAGAAAAAGAACTTTAGCAAATATCAGGATCGTGGGCCTAGTGTTTACCTTATGAGGATACTATAGCTAGGGACAAACCCTTCATGGCAAATTCTCTTCCATTGACATAAATAAATTAGAATTTAAAAAATAAAGAAAAGTGAATTCAAGTAAGCCATTTTTTCAGCATGTAGTTTCAAATACTGAAAAAATGGTTTCAAAATATCAAAATGCAAAAAAATAAAATGCCAGTGTATTGATTATTTCTCCACAATGCATAAATGCAACTGTGGAGAAATAATCAGGCTATAATGTGTTTTAATTTCGATACTTTGAAGACATTGTTTCAACATTTGAAACTTCATGGTTTACTTTAGGTTTACCATAAGTTACTTTTTTTCTTATCTTTAAGGTTTAAAATACAAATGGAGTTGAAACAGAATTTGCCATCAAAAGTTCCTCTTGCACTATAGTATCCTGTTATGTAGGCTAATCCGTGGAGGAAACTTCATTTAAAAAACAATGTTTTTGACCCTTGTCATGGTTAGTGGGTTTATGTGTATAAAGGACCCACCCAGTCAGATACGCCGAGCAGGGTCACTCACGTCGGACAGGTCTCTGGTGAGACACCCGACTGAAAGTAATACTCTCGTTTTCAAGGTTGGAGTTTGAGCTTAGAGTTGACTGCCCTATCCTGCAAAAAATCGACTGACACACACTCAGAACATAGAAATTCCGGATTGACTAAAGGTAAACGACTTGAATCAAATAAAAGAAAACAATGCGTAAAATTATATGTTGGAACATGGAATGTTATAACACTTTTATCCAGATTCTGTTACAGAGTTTTATATGTTAAAAAAGAAAGATGTTACTTGATCTAGAACAAGAAAAAAAAAGCATTTCTATTTTCCAAGAAAGAACACCTTTCAACCTAGATCAATAAATTGTAAAGATAAAAAGGGAAGTATTATTACTGATTTTTGTAAAACATGGCATAGGCGTAAAGAATATTTTTCAGAGCTGCTTACTGCAACAAACATGATGGATGGCAATATTACATACAAGATACCAAGACACCCAAAAAATAGTGACGAAATAATGCACAACAATCGTTAAGTAGCAGAAATCCTATTGAAACTAATGTACAAGAAGAGTTAGGTTACTTAAGTCCCAGCAATATAAAATGCGCAGCAACCACAAAAATAACGCTAGTCCCATTAAAAATAATTTTCAAGAAACGTAAAACCATAATACTAAAATTAATTCACATTAGCATAATGATCAGTTTCAGACATAATTTAGTGAGTGGCATAATAATCACTAAAATTAATTATGAATTACTGGCATCAATATAATAAAGATGGTAAATTATTATGTTTCCCCTTACTGAAACTGTACCTTTTTCCTATTGATTTTGTTTTTAGAACACAATTTAATTTTATTTTCTTAAGTCCAATTGCCATTAAGTACAAATTATTTAGCTGTATGTAACATGTTTTAAAAACAACACAATAAACAAAATAATCATTTGGTTTCAGAAAACTTTAGAAATACTAATTCGGTGACATAGTACATACATATTATACCACGTTGATCACTGAGCTTGTAAAAAATTATTAAACATTTAAGAATGTGATATAAAATCTTACACGGAATCCTGTACACTTTTATTCATAACAATGGCTAATGTAAACCCCCTCCTCCGATGCAATGAAAAAGATCATTTTTCTAACATCTCTCTAAATGGGACTAATTTAAATTTTTAAACAATTTATAAGATCAGGGATAAAAAATTGCTCTATATAGTCTATGTCAAAATTTCATGTCAAAGTCTATGACTAGCACTAACAGCTCTGAAGTTATAAGAGATTCAACATGATATTACCACACCTGGGAGCAACAAAAATACTGAGTAAACAGGAGAAAATTATATAAGGAAAATAAAATAGATAGAATTTAACAAATAAATTGAAACATTAAGACATTTAAACATGTAGAAAATATCTAACCGGAGTTTTTTTTTTCTTTTTCTTTTTTAATTTAGCAAGTTTAAAACTGGTATGCTTTTTTTCTTTTCTTGATATTTCTTGTTTTGTTTTTTACTGCATTGAAATAAAAAAGATAAATACTATGAGCCATGCTGTTTACCCAAACCAATTTAGGAATAATATTAATGAAATACTTTCCAAATTGCATGCAAATAATTTAATTAAGAGGAGAGAAAAAAACTGCAAAAGGATTTTTTAAAAAATATCGTAGTTAAGTTGTGTGGGAAAAATATCATGCCAATTAATGAAGCCATTTAAATATAAAGTTTATGTTGAATTTGAAACAATGAGTTTAAACATATTTTGTTTTTTCCTTGTTAACAAACCATAAATTGTCTCTCACGGATTTAAAAATGGTTGAAAATAAAAAGAATTATCACATGAATGTTTACAAAGAGCAGAATAAATTGTAATTCAAATAGAAACAATCATAAAAGTACACAGAAGATCTTCAATTCTTTATATAGAGGGATATCCAAATTAATACTTACATCCAACATCCTTCCAGGTACTACTTTCACCACCCTGAAACAAATAGAATAATTAGCAAAAATTAATGAAGAAAGAATCAGTTATACTGGTAACAATTTAATTCACATCATAATTTCAGGGCTCCCAAAGGGGGAGAAAAAACCATTTGCAGTTAAAAAGAGAAATTAGGGAGACCATTTAGGTTTAAAAAGTTTTTCAGGATGATCATTAAAATTTTAAAACTAATTAAGAAAACCATTAATATTTAATAAATGATTTAATTAGTCTTCCTGAAGTAAATAATAAAAATTACTTTGAACAGAATTATACTAACAAGAGAGAATTTTTACATTAAGTTTCCTCAAACAATAAAGTCAGAAATTATAAAAAATTAAAAAAGATTCACTGAAGAAAAATAAAATAAAAACAAACCATGTGTAGCTCTCAAAGCTTATTTAATATTTTACACATTTAAGACTTACGACAGAAATTGTGATAGACAGAAATAGACTGAAATATTAAAAAAAGTCAATTATGTGCAACAGCAAATAGTCAACTTAGAAAAGGGAAAATCAACTTTTGTCATTTTGCAGTAAAGAAAAAAAATGTAAGTAAAGAAACTCTTTCTTATTCCTCCTCTCCTCTACTGTCTTCATCACACCTGAGTAATTTCAGTCCCCAGAAAGTAACCATCATTAATAATTTTCTCTGGTCTTATCATATTTTATTTTATTACACTGAATTGATAAAAATGTGTCCTAAATTAGGTAGATAATTAACACCTAAATTAAATCATATTACATACACAAATAACTGAATAATCTCTTAAATTTTATTTGATTATTGAAACACAAACTGGATCGCACAATCAAATCACAATCCTAAATGAACACTAATAATTTTCAAAATTACAAAACTAAAAAATGTATTAAAAATTTCAGCTTAGAAAATGTTCTCTTAGTTGAAGATAAGATTTATTATTAGTAATTTCAATAACTTTGTCAAAACAATTATCAAAGATAAATTTATATAAAAATTACTTAAGTCACCAAATTAATAAATTTATGATAATTGAAATGTTAATTTTAAATGTTTTTAAATAACATGGAAAAGCGATTAATCAAATTTTTTAAAATGATAAATCTAAATCATAAAAGAAATACCAGTACATTTACTAATAATTTGTATTAGTAGATATTTGAGATATTTTAATGGATAATGTAAAAATATTTAATTACTGAAAATTCTTAAAACCACAAATTTGGCCAGATAAATAAGAAGCCTTAATATTTTTAGAGTAAATGGACAGTCGCTCAGGTGAAAATTTCTTAATTTTAAAATTATGAATATAATTTATAGACAGGATACAGCAGGATTTAAAAAAATAAGATAAAGCTTCAAAAACATTTTTCTTAACTACAAATTTTATTACATATAAACAACTCTTTCATGGAATCATTACGGTAAATAAAATATAAATTAAATTGATATTTTTATTAACATATACTTAGTAATTTCATTTAAAATTATATGATACTGGCTATTATTAAATCTTGTTGCTAAATTAAAAATTTAGTATTTGGACAAATAAAGTATAAGAAAGATTGATAGTCTTTTGTATCACAATAAAATAAAATAGACCACAAAGATGAAACAAAATCATTTCATTCAAAAAGAATGAATTTTATTGTACTTTAATACAGTGTATTTAAGAATTCCTAATAGAAAATTCATTACCACATATAACTTAATAATCATTTAATTGAAAAATAAACTGAAGTAGGAAAATAAACGTAACGGAAGAAGGAAAATAAACGTTTTAATGCTCATTATGCGGGTGCATATCCAGGAACTAAGAAGTGGTTAGGATGGAGTGTCAAATGGCAAAAAGTGGTGGTGATGAATTAGGGTAATTTTTGATGGAAACTTTATTTTATTTATTTGCCATGTGGCAAGTGACAACAGCTTATCTTGCCCTCAATCCTTCTATTCAGTCCACTTCTGCAATTCTTCACTTTTTTTAAAATTTAGTTTCTTGCCTACTACTGCCCAATTGTTGCCAAAATTAGCAACTATTTTGACTCAGGAAAAAAAAATCCTTTTAATATTCTTAAATATCAGCAGAAAAGCATAATTAGTAGCAAGTTTTAAAATTGTTATAGAAATGCTTTTAAAAAATGCATTACATTTTTATCATCAATGTTTTTCTCACTGCTGCATTTGTTTTTTGTTTCTTAAGAGTATGCTGTGTTGAAGTACCAATATGGAAATCTTTATATCGAGTTAATTGGTAATTGGGGAATCCGTTCAAAAATTTTCTTACCAACCACTTTTTTTATTATTGAACAAAATAGAGTAAAACTAATTAGTTGAGCAAGAAAATATAACTTTTCAGAACTCTCAGCAGGTCAAATTGTAATTTTTTTTTAATCCATGTAATTTAATTTGGAAGAACTGTTGACAAGAAACTTTTGTATACATTTGATTAAATAGCTTGATAATTAAAAACTGCTTGTATCAACATATTTTAGCAACTATTATAAAATCTATTTTGAGAATAAAATATTCTTAAACTATAAATAGTCACACTAATTTCTGTTTAAATAAATTTTAACAAAAAACTTACATTCTTATCATCAGACATCTTTATTAGACTCAATTTTCCCCTAAAAATATAATCAAAATTAGGTAAATTTGTGTGTAATATATATTTACATGAAGTATTATTCTAAACTAGTCTGACCGCAGTTTAGTTTTCATTTACCTTTTTATCAGCATACATATGAGTTGATAATATCTTCAACTAAATAATCTCTATTCATGTAAATTTCTGAAATGGAATACATATCTGAATCTGTTAAATCTTTTATGTATTCTGCTTACTTATGGAAGTTACATATAAAATTATTCCTACAAACTTGATTACGCATCATAATTTACATGTAAGTGTCGTTCCTAAATGTGGAGAAAAGTGTTGTAATTTTGATCAATTTAAACTTTAGGTATATTATTTTCATACAACAATTTTAAAATAGAATACATTTTCCATTTATCTGTAAAAAATTTTTGGAAAATAAATTCTGCCAAGAATTTTTTTAAAAACAATTGGTCCAAGGCACAACATAGTACTGTACCTTGGACCATTGCATATTACTTTGTGGATAACATTAATTTTGATTTCTCTACTTCTGAGCATTTTTATTAATTGAATTTAGGCATTAAAGTAATTAAAACTTCCTTGTCTTATTTTATTTTAGCTTGCATAAGCTAAAATAAGTCAAATTAACAAAGCATAAATGTAATATTAAATAATATGTTGTTGAAATATTTCCTAAATATACCTTAAATAAAATAAAAATTTACAAATTATGAGTGCAAGGTTGGTAGTATGCAAAATAAAATAATTTTTTTAATAAATCAGGAGATTAATTATATATATACATGTGCAGACTAATGTTAAAAAGAACAAACTATAAAAAGTTTAGTTTGAAGCACTACTTAAGTATAATAATGGCAAATTTTATTCTAAAAGAATAATAAAATATACTATTTTTAAATACTTTGTGTAGAACAAAAAGTTTTAATTAACAAAGCATAAATGTAATATTAAATAATGTTGTTGAAATATTTCCTAAATATGCCTTAATAAAAATTTACAAATTATGAGTGCAAGGTTGGTAGTATACAAAATAAAACAATTTTTTTTAATAAATCAGGAGATTAATTATATATATACATGTGCAGACTAATGTTAAAAAGAACGAACTATAAAAAGTTTAGTTTGAAGCACTACTTAAGTATAATAAAGGCAAATTGCATTCCAAAAGAATAATAAAATATACTATTTTTAAATACTTTGTGTAGAACAAAAAGATTTATCAGTTTCCAGTATAATTTTAATGGAGCACAGAACAACTCATATAAGTTAATGGAACATTTTTACAGCATTGTGGCATGAAAAATTAACCAGAATAAAACCATTATTTGTATCAATATTCAATTAAAATAATTTAGTTCATGATCTCATTGATTCAAGTAATATTGATAAAGTAATATTTCAATAATCTCAGTGTTTTCACTACAGCGCGAGAACGCGAGAATCTCGCATATTTTTTTCTTTTCTCGCATTAAAAAATGATTACCGCGAGAAATTCGCGCATTCTATAAATCAATTTCAAAATTCTCGAATTTCTCGCATTTTGGTAAAAACTTCGAATTACGCCATTTAGAATAAAATCCGTTTATCTTTTCTTCCTGGATCTTTCATTATTTTCAACATCTGCCCCATTATCTAGCTTCCCTATTTACCAGTATTGTTCAGAACCTCTTCGAACAACAGAACACAACCATGGAACCCCTTTCAGAATACATTTCTCTGCAACCAGGCGTTTACCGTAGGTAAAGTTTCTTCATGTAAGACGTTCAAAATTTTTATGCACTTAAGATGGACAAATACCTTGTAAAGGCAAAATCTTCTATGATGATGCACCAAAAATATTCAATGCTTTAAAAAATAGAAGACGTTAACAATGTATTATAATTAAAGAAATGATTTTTTTTCAAGAGTTTTTGTTTTTTTAGAAATCTCACTTAACTTTTTGAAATCTCACCCTGTTTTTGAGAAAGGGTGAGAAATTCTCACCCATTTTTTTTCTATGATGAAAACACTGAATCTCCAGATGAAAATACAGTGAACATTCATATATTAATACAACATAAGCAGTTTATTGGATTGACTCATCTATTCACCATTTAATTATTTCATGACATGGATACTATATTGTCAATCTCTCAATTTTAAAATCCGATGAAATAAAAGTATAATAGTGAAACAGCAAAACTTCACCCAACAAGATTTATTACTGCTTTTGATTGTTAAATTGTAAATTGAGTTTCTTTTTCATAAAATGGTTTTATTTCCAAAAAGTTTGAAACAATGAATCTTTCAGGTATGGCAATAAGCCTGAAAAATTGTATAATTAACGGATTGTAAAGTTTGAATAATCATATTTTGTGATTTCTACTAGCATTATTAATATAAATAAAAAGGTATAGAAATCAAAGTAAATCGGTATTTTCATAATTCACATTTTACGTTTGTAGAAAATTAGAAATTCTGAACTTACACACAAAAAATAGAAATGTCAGAAAAAAAAGCTAAAATTAATGGCACATAAAATAAAAATTATTTACAAAGCTGCAATTAATGAAATGCAAGTTATTAGATTCTATTTGAAAGTAATATGCATATTTACTACATATAGCCAATTTTCTTTTACTCGAGTGCAAATGATAAAAATTAAAACAAATTAATAAAATATTAATAAACACAGAAAAGAGTTGTCAAATAAATGAAATAAATTTTTGAATTAAAAAAAGCAAATGCATGATAATCAAACAACTTACATAATACTTCAATTAATTTTTTTAAAAAAAAATACGAAAAATCATTGTTATGGATTAATTCCAAATTAAATATACTTTAAAGCAAGAATAAACGTTTGGATCATAGAACTTGTTAAAATATGACTTACGCTTGTTCTCGTTGAAAATTCAACAAACAGTTATACCTGTTCAACAGATAACATGAAAAAATAACAAAACGTGAAGGAATCGGGAAATTCCCTTTTCTCACGTCACTTTTGTGCGAAACGTTCATGTTCGCTTTCACCTAACTTCCTAACTAAAGGATCACGCCATGGAACCGGTCTTCACGTGTCACAATGTGAACGCTTGAGTACGTCGTCTAGCGGAGCCTGAAAATATCAGGCATTTAGTTCTATACTTCATTTCACCTTAGGGTGGACAACATTGACTGGATGGTCGCACTGGAGCGAAGGCAGACCGGATTACAGCCGTTGTCATGGAAACTGAGTTACTGGAGATGAGGTAGTAAAAAAAGGAGAGTATGAAAAAGAAATCATAAATATATTAAAAATAACGTTTTAAATATTTTGAAAAAAAGTGACAAAATAATTCATATATTATTTATGATGATAAATTTCTTTTAGTGATATTACGATGGTAAATTTTGATTGTAAGGGAAACTTACATAGTCATCAAGCACAGGGGTGTTCTGATAATGTGAGCACACTAGTTAATCAGGAAGTAATAAGTACTTTGATTGACATAATCAGTTCTAGCATAAAGCCGGCATTAGAGTTCTTGGATTTTTGATTCATGATAAAGTTTATTTGACAATTTTAACGGTATGAATTATTCTGGTAGCGGTCCAGAAATGATTAAGACTTGGTTTGTCATCGATCGATGCTTCAGTAAAATTTTAAATGCTGTAGCTAGACAAAAAGTGGTCAAAATTTTGACTGCAAGATTTTATCAGCACAAACGCTTAAGCGAGTTAATTTTAGTTAAATAAAATTTAGTAACATGAAAAAGGATCTTTCTATTAAAGATAAAAACAATTATTCAAATGATAATAAATATTTTCATAAAATAATTAAAAAAAAACAATAAATTGTACTTTACCTTTATATCATGAAAAATCTGTTTTAGTTTCATTATAAATATATACTTAATGTATCATCGCATTCCACTAAAAAATAAACTGAAATAAAAAAAAAACAGGGAATTAAATAAATAATAAAAAATACATTGTAAGTGCAAAGCTTCCAACGCTTGTGAAAAAAATTTGATTTGAGGGACACTTGGTCAAAAATGGTAACCCAATATTAACTAAGCTTTATTTCACATACCCGGTTTCAGACAGATTTGAAGTTTTTGTCATTTTAAGCTCTATCTAAAGTTAGATATAAGAACTCTAATAAGTCCTAACACAGCGATTCTCAACTTGTGGGGCGCGCTCCCCTAGGGGAGCGCGAGCACACTAGCGGGGTGGCGTGAGCAAATCCAAGGGGAAATATAACTTGAAGAAATTCGTTTACTGACTGAAAGGAAAGCGCACATACACATAGAACACAAAATAAATTTCGACATATTTAATAACTTATTAAAGTTAAAAAAAAAAATTATTAAATCAAAACTTAAGGTGGGAGCCAAAAGTGTGGAAAGCCAAAAGGATTTTTACAAATTTACTGGTTAAGTCTGAGTAGCTGAAATTTTTTTGTAACATCTTACACCTATCTCTAATACTTATCACGTGTACTTTTAGCTGTAAAATAAAATTTCATTTATTTTATAGTAGAATTTCAAAATTGTACCTTCTGTGCTAACTTCCTTCTACGCCTTTGTGCTTTCTTCGCCACTTCTGCGGTCTCCCACAGGTTACAAAGGAGGGCAATATATTTAAATCACTTTTTCTTCTTCTTCATAAGCGCAACAGCCTTTCACAGGCCAAGACTGACTCGCAGATTTTCCTCCATCTGGCCCTATCCAGTGCGACGGCCCGCCATCGGTTGACTCCCAATAGCTTGAGGTCCTTTTCAACGTCGTCTATTCATCTTGTAGGTGGTCGTCCAAGGTGGTAGGTGGTGTAGGTCTCCAATCGCTTGCATAAAATAATGGAGAAGATCTTGTACGCAATAATCACTTTGTCACTTACTCAAATTATCTTTAGAAAAGACTCTCGGACTGGCAAACATCTTTTGAAAAGACACTTGTCTTGCTGGTAAGAACAAGTTTTTCGACTTTAAAAAAGATATTTGTTTTTAGAGTCTTTAAAAAAGATATTTGTTTTTAGAGTGTATAATTTGTTTATTGATTTTACATTGATAGTTCTTTTGTGAAGTTACTAGAGATTCTTTTGAGTTAGCTCATTAGAATTAATCAAGAATTACTGAGTTAATTTTTTCAAAAGGATTAACTAACAAGACTTTAACCATAGAGTTAACTAACCTAACCCATAACTAGTATAAAAATACCCAAATTTACAAGAAAATGCCAGAATCGACCAAAAAAACACTCATAACTTCCACAAAAATGAAAAAATACCTGAAAATTACTTTGAAATTCAAACAATACAAAAAACTTGAAACAAAATATCGCACACTCTACTAAAGTGCAGAGAACGTCAATATATTATAAAAATTTAAAAAATACCAAAGTTCCACACTTGCTTAAAATGAAATAAATCAATTGGCATTCAATTCAATCATTACTTTTTGAGAAATAATATGCTACGTGATGATTTATAATAAACTTTTTTATAGATTTCACGTTTCTTTCCGAAGGTGGCCCACGTGTCTCCAAGGTGGCACCGGTGTCGGGCAACCTTAGGAACATGCATATGGTCTCTCTCACCATTTACACGACTTAAAACTGCTATTCTGATAGATTAATTCGAATTAAAGTAATGTGGTTGAAGAAAAAAAATAACCTTTCAGAAAACATATTCTAACTCAAAGTTCTAAGAATTTAAACACATATAAATTACAATATCTTCTCATCCGGAAATTAGAACGACAACTGCAAAAAATTAAATCACTTTATACAGTGGAGGCCATTGAAGGAAATATCTTCCAATTCAGCCTCGGGCACCTCAGATACAGGATTTACAATGCAGCAGGGACATCGTATGATTCAAAATAAATTTAATTTTACTTTGGGGGGTGGGCTACGTTAGGAGCACTGACCACCTTTGGCTTACCCACCTTACTTAATCAAAGCATACTAAATTTAAAAAAGAAATTAATAATTTTTAGTGACTTCCTTGGGCCCAAAGAGCGGAAAAGATTCTTTATCTCAGGGTTCTCATTTTTATATAATTTGCAATCGTTACANTCTAAAGAAAAGTATCGTGGAAATTTTAAAAAATATTCTTATTAAATAAAAAGGAAAAATATTAAGAAAAGGGAAAATATCGTAGTACATTCCTATACAACTGAAAAGAGGAGGAGAGGGAAGGGAGAAGGGCTAAAGGCATGAAACCGGTCTTTCCCCAGATGGCGTATTCGAGTGTTGCGATCGCGAATTGTGGAAAAAGTCACTTTTTTGGCAGAGACGGCATCAGAATTTCTGAAGAGGTGGCCCAGCCTCCTTGTTGTGAAATGAAGTGCAGTGAGGAAAGTATTGGCGATGCGCGCCTCTGTGCTTGGCGTCAGATTTTGTCATTCAATGTTATGATTCCGTCGGAGAAGCAGCTCTGACCAAGGAGCTGTTTGTTTTGCTGAATAAATGTTCGTTTCGTATTTAGAAGGCCTATGTGCCACTTTTATTTCCAATGCACCCAGCATCTGGTAGATGCAGCCCATGAACGATCTGGAATTTCTCCTCCGGTTTCTAACACACCTAATGCGTGATGCTTTAATAATTCTCACAATGTCGGTCTCACCGAATTTGTCATATTTTTTTGTAAATTTCGTGATTGTTATTCTCTTGAAGAGATCCAAAGATTTTCCTCAAAATTTTTCTTTCAAAAATTAGCAGTTTTTCCTCCCCTGTTTTGTTTAGGGTCCAGCACTCACTTCCATACGTAACTATAGGCCTGATTACAGTTTTGTAGATGTTTAACTTTGTCTTCACACTGATGAACTTGGATTTGAGTAGGTTTCTGAGGCCGTAGAAACTTCTGTTAGCCATGAAAATTCTGTTATTTATTTCGATTTTCAGGTTGTTGTGGCTAGAGATCAAGGTTCCTAAGTACTTGAACTGGTTAACAGTTTCAAAAGAGTAAGTCATTATCTCCAGAGGAGATCGATCAGGAGTTGCGATCAAAAACTTGGTTTTGTCTGCATTTATATTTAGTCCCATCTCCTTCGCTGCACTCTCAAGCGCTACAAAAGCGTCAATGACTGAGCGTTTTGCTCTTCCAACTATGTCGATATCATCAACAAAAGCGAGTAGTTGGACAGTTCTTTGTAAGATTGTTCCATTTGTGTTGATACCAGACTCTCTAATGGCATTTTCCAAAGCTATGTTAAATAGCAGGCAAGAAAGGGAACCACCCTGTCTCAGGCCTTTTTCGGTGAAGAATGGTTTAGAGTGACTTGACGAGATTTTTATTCTGCACGAAACTCTTTTGAGTGTCATTCTTGTGAGGCTGATTAGCTTCTTTGGGATGTTAAACTCCAACATAGCCTCAAGTAGTTTTCCTCGGTTGATGCTGTCGTAGGCAGCTTGAAAGTCAATAAATAAGTGGTATGTGTCAATGTTATACTCTTTGGTTTTCTCCAAGATCTGCCTGATAGTATGCAATTGGTCAGTCGTTGTTTTTCCTTTCTGGAATCTGCATTGGTAATTTTCAATGATTCCCGAGGTGTAGGTCTCCAATCGCTTGCATAAAATAATGGAGAAGATCTTGTACGCAATAATCACTTTTTCACTTACTCAAATTATCTTTAGAAAAGACTCTCGGACTGGCAAACATCTTTTAAAAAGACACTTGTCTTGCTGGTAAGAGCAAGTTTTTCGACTTTAAAAAAGATATTTGTTTTTAGAGTGTATAATTTGTTTATTGATTTTACATTGTACTGTAGTAACAAAAGAATCTCTATAGAGATTCTTTTGAGTTAGCTCATTAGAATTAATCAAGAATTACTGAGTCAATTTTTTCAAAAGGATTAGCTAACAAGACTTTAACCATAGAGTTAACTAACCTAATCCATAACTAGTATAAAAATACCCAAATTTACAAGAAAATGCCAGAATCGACCACAAAAACACTCATAACTACCACAAAAATGAAAAATTACTTCAAAATTCAAACAATACAAAAAACTTGAAACAAAATATCGCAAACTCTACTAAAGTGCAGAGAACGTCAATATATTATAAAAATTTAAAAAATACCAAAGTTCCACATTTTCTTAAAATGAAATAAATCAATTGGCATTCAATTCAATCATAACTTTTTGAGAAATAATATGCTACGTGATGATTTATAATAAACTTTTTTATAGATGTCACGTTTGTTTCCGAAGGTGGCCCACGAGTCCCCAAGGTGGCACCGGTGTCGGGCAACCTTGGGAACATGCCATTCTCTCACCATTTGCACGACTTAAAACTGTTATTCTGATAGATTAATTCGAATTAAAGTAACGTGGTTGAAGAAAAAAAATAACCTTTCAGAAAACATATTCTAACTCAAAGTTCTAAGAATTTAAACACATATAAATTACAATATCTTCTCATCCGGAAATTAGAACAACTGCAAAAAATTAAATCACTTCATACAATGGAGGCCATTGAAGGAAATATCTTCCAATTCAGCCTCGTGCACCTCAGATACAGGATTTACAATGCAGCAGGGACATCGTATGATTCAAAATAAATTTAATTTTACTTTGGGGGGGGGGAGGACGCTAGGAGCACTGGCCACCTTTTTCTTACTCACCTTACTGAATCAAAACATACTAAATTTTTTAAAAAAATGAATTATTTTTAGTGACTTCCTTAGGCCTGTCTTTCAGAGCAAAGTTTTTTGAGGTGAGGCTTAATATTAGAAGTAGCCACTCTCAGTTCAGTTTCTATATTTAGCCGTGATCTATATTTTGTCTTCAAAGAAGCCACAGCAGAAAATCCAGTTTCACAAAGGTAGGATGTTGAAAATGGTAATAGAATGCCAAATGCCCTTGTTTTTACTGCAGAAAAATCATCCTCCTGTCTAAAATTCAAATAGTGATTTATTACTAAATTGTATTTTGGTTTCGCCACTTGTCGTGAAGTCTATGAATTTTTCTTCCTCATCAATTGAGAGTCCTTCGGGAGTTTTATGAAATGGATTCCTAACCCACTTGTAACTTGCTATCAGTTTGTCGTCGGCAGGAAAATACTTTTTGAAATTCCTTGTCAGCGTGGCTAAATGATTTTCAATGGTTATAAAAACAACTTTTGCATGTTCTTCTTCAACCTTATAAGTTTTAGTACAATTATCCACAATTGCAAACATTGTTAAGTATTTTGTTTTAAATTTCTGCCCCATAATTCCAATTTTCTACAAAAAGCATTAACTTTATCACTCGTATCCAACATATGTGTCTTTGCTCCTTGGAGTTGAAAATTCAAGTTATTTAATTTCTCGAATATGACGACCAATAGCTCAATTTCATTACAAATAAACAATAGTGAAAATTCTCGGTTTCCGGTCTGTTATCTTCTTCTGGGAAAATGGCGATTTCTTCTCTTAATTCATAAACACGTTGCAAAAATTTCTAGTATAAAACTTCTTAAAAATTTCGCATTTAAATAGTAACTCTGAATGTACTGAACCCATGTCATTACAAAGAGCGGAAAAGATTCTCAGGTTTCTCATTTTTATATAATTTGCAACAGATATAACCATAGTTAACACAATATTTAAACCAGGACGCATTTCTTTCGAAGCCAAAGCTTCTTTGTGGATCATGCAATGTGTCCAGACGTATTGAGGCGATTTTTGTTTTACAAATACTTGTATACTTTCGAACCTTCCAGATATTGAACGAGCACCATCGGTGCATATTCCGATGCAATTTTTGCATTCTATGTTTGCCTCATTCATAACATCACTTAAAGAAGCAAATAAGGCTAGCGCTGTTGTTTTGAGTTTTATTGATTTGCTGAAAAGTAGTTCTACTACTGACATATTACGAAATTAAACATAGTCAATTAAATGAGCATCTTTATTAACATCTGTTGCTTCATCAAACTGTATTGAAAGCATTTTGTCACGCAACATCGAGAAAAGCTGATGCTACATTTTCAGCTGTATCACCAATTCGACGAGCAGCAGTATCATTTGAAAGAGGTATGAACTCTAATTGTTTTGAAACATTAACTCCAAATATAGTTTCTACAATCTCAATTGCTGTTGGCTTTTACTTTACTTTTGTTTTGGCAGTTAGTTAAAAATAATTTAAAGACAGAATTCAGAATACTCAATACACATTATTGTTGTATACATTTTACTGTGAGTGGGGGGCGCGATGAAAATTATGATTGAAAACTGGGCTGCGAATACTGAAAGGTTGAGAAACGCTGTCCTAACAAATATGAAATGATTGCATAGTCAAAATAATGACTGTTTACAATAATAAAATCAATTATATGAAATGAGGAATTGTTTGAAATAATATTATGCAAAGGATAAAAACGAAAATCAAAATTTAACCGGAATAGTAAGATGGCAAGGTGTTCTGTAAAGACCTCCCTTAATGTATATTTTTTGAGAAAGAAAAAAAAAAAAGGACATTCCCATTGGGGATCACAAATCAGTGTTTAAGCGAGGAAAAATCAAAAACGCTCATGAAATCAGAAAAATAACAATTGGCGATCGAAATGGGCTGCAGGTGGCGTAGAGCAGAACTCTTTTCTTATGGTAACACTTCACATGCTTTCCCCATTAGCGTGTGGAAAGTCATAGAGGAAGGAAGTACGTTAGTTTCTCTCTTNAAATATAATAAAAATAAGACAGTGAAAGATAAGATGTTGAGAGATATAAATCTTGCCAGATATAAGTCTCTTATATTGCTAAAAAAAATTTAACTACATAAAAAGCTCATAAAGGAAAAATATATTTTGAAATTTCTAACTGGTACGTAATATATGGTTTTCTTTCTGTCTTTTTTTTAATTTCCAATGTTCACCTGTGTATACATTTCGTCAATTCGGGCATTTAAAGGGCAAATTTGCTGACCTCTTTTTCAGAGGCACCATATTTGGTGGGCTAACGTTGCTTCCATAATAAGAATAGATAGTACAGAAAATGAAAGAACGTCCATGCCTTGCCCGGGATTCGAACCCAGAATCTTTACGAGGAAAGTCCAGTTCCCTGCTTTTTATTGCACAGCACATTCTGCAATCCTTAGATTAAATTTTTTCTTCAGGTACAGTTGACATCTTTTTTAATCCAGGCACTCTTTCATTTCATCACGATTAACATGTTAGCAAAATATACTTATATAAAGTAATATTTTCACGGGGGGAATTTTTTTTCTGTTGTAAGACATTTCTTTTAACGCAAAAAACCTTATTATCCAGTATTGTATAAATTATAAACAAAAAGACACTTTTAATCGATTTTTAAGGGGGGAAAACAGGCTCATGAGCGCAGTGAATATGGTTTGGAAACTCCTATGCGATAAAAAAAGAAAAAAACACTTTGTGATCCCAAGTGTTTTCTATTTTCTTTATGCGCCTGTGGTAAATAGAGAAATTTCGTAAATTTCTTCGTTTTTTTTTATCTTGTTACTAATACTTGTCTCTATAGGTCAAATGTGAGGATGTCATGCGTGCATACGTAGATAGATGCTGTAAAGTGCAGCCTTACATTAACATTTCATCACGATTAACATGTTAGCAAAATATACTTTTATAAAGTAATATTTTCACGGGGGGAAATTTTTTTTCTGTTGTAAGACATTTCTTTTAACGCAAAAAAAACCTTATTATCTAGTATTGTATAAATTATAAACAAAAAGACACTTTTTAATCGATTTTTAAGGGGGGAAAACAGGCTTATGAGAGCAGTAAATATGGTTTGGAAACTCCTATGCGATAAAAAAAAAAAAAAAAAAAAAAAAAAAAAAAAANTTCGATTTTCTTTATGCGCCTGTGGTAAATAGAGAAATTTCGTAAATTTCTTCGTTTTTTTTATCTTGTTACTAATACTTGTCTCTATAGGTCAAATGTGAGGATGTCATGCGTGCATACGTAGATAGATGCCGTAAAGTGCAGCCTTACATAAACGCCGTTACTGATGCTCGGTATGAAGATGCTTTAGAAGAGTCGAGACTGGTTGATCGCTTTTTAGCTAGAGGAGATAAAACACCAGATGAAATTGAAAAAGACACGCCACTTTTAGGCGTTCCTTTTTCTTGCAAGGAAGCCATAGGAGTCAAAGGTATTTTGGTTAACTGATTAAAGGTATTTTGGTTAAAGGTACTGGTTAAAGGTATTTTGGCTAAGTTACGCTGTTTCGATTAATATAGATTTGGTTGATGGAACTTGGTATGCCTATTTACATGGACCTTGAAAGAAAAATTGCAATAAGAAATTTCGACTACCAGGTGGGAAAAGTGCTGAGAGGAAAAACCTCTAATCAGAGCCGCCAAACTATCTTAATTTATATATTATATTCTTAATTTTATATTATATTATACAAATCTTAACAAATTAGTGAAGTGATTATGCCGAACAATGTAATTTAAGTTGGATTTCATTGGATACTTAGAAGCGGCGTCAAGCGTGTGTTCAGAAGCCGATTGGCTTTTGAATCGACAAATGCCGCGATTTACCAACGACGACGTCACTAGCAGAGAGCTCAACTGTAGCCGGAACGATTTCTCAAACGATTGCTGCTGCATGACGTGTTCAGTCATTTTAAAGTCATTTTTTATCTTTTCTTCATTGCGCTAACTCTTCAGTAACATAATCCTCTTTCTTCTGTAGATACTAAGTGCAGAATTATTTTATTGAGTACTGGCTTTTCAAAACACTCCAAATTGTACTAATATCATTTTCAGTACACGAAAAGGGAATATATTGTTCGAAATTACGATTTATCTTTATTGCAGATGTTTTTTCGAGGTCCATGCAATTTATATACTATGTTTCATCCACAATAGAACTCTGTGTTGGTCCAAACTGGGTAAGAAACGACGAGTGATTTTTATAAATACAATTATGGCACACTAACACACTGATAGCCGATCAAACCACACATCCTAATGAAAGTTTTATGTAAATTTTTAACGCACGTAAATAATTGTTCGTGAAGGATTTTATATATATACATTCATTAAATTTAATAAGCATCTTAAAAAATGTCAGAAATAAGGTTATGAAACCCTTCCCATTAAGAAAAGAAAACGACAGAACATTTTGAAGAAGATAAAAATCAGAGCACAAAAAAAAAATGAAATTAAAGGGATTTGAACAATATGAAGATAAATAACAATTTTGTTCAGAAGAGCAATTATGTGGAAAAACACCTTGATTTCCATTTAGGGTATAGGATGCTTTTATGAATTTATTAACCCAATTACTTCAATCGGTTAAAATGATAATAAAAAACAATTTATTTTTCGTCGGATGAAATTAAAAGGCATTCACCCAACATGGAAATTTTGAATATGTTATTATGTTCACATGCCATCAGTATCTACACAAAAAGAACATTATAGAATAATTTTAAAATTTGTGCAATGATAGTATAATTTTAAAACTGACCGTTTGCAATGGGCTTGAAATGAGAAAATAATTTTGCGTTTGCTAGGTCAAAAGAAAAAAACATAGACGATATCACTTTCGAATGACGAGGCCTTAAAGAGGCTTATTATCGAAAGTATAAGTCTTAGTTTTTCATTTTCATTCGATAAAAACGTAATTGAATTATCCTTTTTAGACCATTGGAAAGCCGTAGTCTTTAGATATTTCATTTCATTATTTTCCTTGTCAGTCTGTTAATTTTTAAATAAAAAGTCATTTTAATTCGCAATGAAAGAGTGAAAATATTTGCTCGCACTATTTAGAAAACAATTTTACTTGCATGGCATCAGGCACAGAGCTCCAGTTGAAATTTAAGATCTCTAACTACTCAGAAAAAGTCTAATTAATGATTAAATCAATTTATCGTTGCAAGTCGGATTTGGATTGACGATACACTTATTTCTCGATTTATTTATATACCGTCTGGTGATAATTTGTCAATAAATTATTCTTTTAGAGATCAGAAAACGATTCAAACTCGCATTGTCATCGGGAACCGAGCTACAGTTGAAACTTGAGCTTTCTATACAATCGATAGGGGTCGAAATTTCGGTTTCAAGGTTCCATCGTCACACACCTGAAAGCAGATTAATAAAAACGCTTAAAAAAATTGTTAGTCGCTTTTAATGTCAGAAAAGATATTAAATATTTACCCTTAAGAGTTATCCACCCTAATTACATTATCCAGTGTGTCCCTGGATTATTGGAACAAACCTTAAGGGGAGGTGGGATGTGACAGGCTTCAAAATTGCATAGCAACACATAGTCCGAAACGTCTTGTGAAAGTAGTATGACAGATACAAGAAACAAAAAGCAGCATGACTGAGATCATCTGAAATATTTATTGATCAAATATATCACATGCGTTGTGGAAGATGATATGTGAAAATGTCATAAAAGATGTTGACACTTCCACAATTGCTAGAAATGCATGCCTTACACCGTTGGTTCATGGATTGGCGGACAAGCTGTTTGATGTCCGCTGCAGTACAGACGATTCTGGTAAGCAGATCCAATTCGTAATCCACAGTTGTACACAGCACTTCAAAGAAAGAAATTCAAACTACTAAAATCAGAAAAGCGTGGTCTACCGAACCCAATCTATCTTGCGAACACCATTTACGGTCGAACGAAGACGTTTATGACCATGAGTCACAATGCAAACCTGAATCCTTGTGATGTTCCTTACCTCCCTTTAAAGTTAGTCCAAAAAATCTTGGGACACCCTGTATGCTAAGATAATCTTGCCCAGTGGACAGTAGGTATTAAGGGTTATTGAAAATACTTTCATACCTCGAGAGATCAAACGCATCACGTGCTCTTTGTTTTGTTCTAAAACTAGGTTTGGCGCAGACATCTGGAATTTATGCAGCTAAAGGAAGAGTTGCCGACAAAGATTCTGATGCAACTGCCTATTGCAGAGCTGCTGGAGCTATACCTATTACAGTAACAAATATGCCTGAGATGTGCATGTGGTGGGACACCTCAAATCTGATTTTCGGAATAACTAAAAATCCTTTTGACAACTTAAGAGCAGTCGGTGGCAGCACGGGTAATGGTATTTTCTAATACAATTATCTAGTTTAATTTGAATACTGTTTATAATAAGTACACAAGCACAATGCATAATGTTGAGTAGACATTTGAATATCAAATTTATAGCATCAATTAATTGATTTCATAAATATTTTTTTTCCGAGAATGCATATTTTAAAATAACTGGGGTGATTGTGTTCTTGGTGTACTACCCAGGTATTTTGGGTTTTTCATATGATATTTCTGGGTCAGAAAATTGGGAGCAAGATATGCGATTTTTCTGGGAGTTACGCTTATTTCATAACCATCGGATTCCTCTGCCTATTAAATTCTTTTGGTGAGGTGGTTTTTGCCATTTTGCATATTTGGAACCACGCTGGTATCCGTTAATATTATCCACGCAATTTTAATATTAAAGATCGATTTTTGTATTTGTCTGATTTAAAAGTTACACACTGTGATTCGTATTCTCGCGATTTAAAAATCGTACATCGCGATTCGTATTCACACCATTTAAAAATCCAACATTGCGATTTCTATTTACGCGTTTTTAAAATACAGTTTCGTGATTCATATTCCAGCGATTTTTAAATCCAAAATCACAATTCTTCTAAAAACTAAGATTTTTCATGAATTCTTGTTAATATAAAGATGTGATATTCTTTATTGGTAGGTAATTTAATTATAAATCTCATTTCAGAAAATTATGTTGAATATGAAGCATGTATGGAATATTAAATGATATCTTTATTGATTTTCTTCACATGAAATTTTCAGGAATTTTTACTTTGTGTCACTTTTACCTCTGAAATAAGTATATCTCAAATTCTAACGTATATTTAACGATAGTAAAGGTGTACTACAGTACACTGGAATAGTTATGGGTATAATCGCATTTTCACAGTTAAGGTATATGACTATGTGAAACCGCGGCAATTTCGACGAAAATTTTATTTATTATTTTTTTTTATCATCTATATTTGAACTTAGTTTAATAGTTTTCCAAAACCCATTAAATTTTTTATCACCAGCTTTTAGAAAAAGAAATGGTAGTTTTTTCTTATGATTTTAGACGAAATCAAAACCAGAAATAAACTTCGGAAAACGTAACAAAAATACTTTTTGTTAAGCTTTGAGTAGTATAACCTTCTTTTTAGTTTGAATAAATTACAATTTTAAAACAAAGAAAATTCTTTTCAGAAATTAATTTTAATCTTCTCTTTTTTGTACTCTGACTTTTTTTACTTTTTAGAATTTCCATGCATTTTAAATGCATTCTCTGAAGAACGTTGATTTAAAAAATATTTTTACCCTAATACACATTACAAAGACAGTTTATAATGGAATTCTTTGAAATTTTGTACGCAGACTTTGCATAATGTTAGAAATGCATTCTGAACGCTAAGATGTAAGTGTAAACATGTTATTTTTATCAAGCTTTAAGGAAGAACATTTAGAAATTTTATTTAAAAATACGATATTGAACATTATATTTAGTTCTAATTCATTCTTTTTTGTAATTTTTTTCAAGATTTTAGCTTAAAATATAGAAAATCACTTAAGTGATCGTAAAAAAATTAATTTGAAATTTATGCATTACATTTTGCTGTCAAGCTGTTAAATTCACTGAAAAAATATATAGTTTTTAAGATCAAATCTCCCTTTTTTCTGTAAAATATTTTATAAAATTTTAATTTTAGAACCTCTGCTTACCAAGCACAAAATTAAAATTACAATTAAGCCTTTTTGTAAAAAAAAATAATTAATATCCAACTGAGAAAAGTCAGTTGTATATTTTAAATATATATTTCAAGCGTTAAAAATATTTTGAATCAAAAAATGCATTCTAAGATTACGGCAGATTACTGGGAAATCACTCTAAGGGTGTGTGGAATAAATTAAATTTTCATCATTTAATGAAAAAAAAGTATGAAAGGCTCGTATGATTTTATAACTTGTGGCACTATGATACGCCACATTTTCTAATGGTTCAGGTGAGCCTTCTTGTGAAGAATATAAATTTACTATTTTTTATGTAAGCAATGAGCTTGTTTCTCTATATCATGCTGCCCTCTTACGCAAATTTAAGAAACTCGTAAAGTATTTATCTGAAAACAATACTTAGAAACAGTACTTAGCTATGTTTAACGCTTTATAAGCCCATATTCTGCATTTGGGATTATCCTTAACTCATTTTTAATGATGCTTCAGGAGGAGAAGCAGCCCTCTTAACTACTGCTGGAGCAGTTATAGGTATAGGCAACGATCTGGGTGGAAGTATACGCATCCCATCATCATTTAATGGAATCTATGGGCATAAACCTTCTACTGGTAAGTAATAGAAATAAAATACATCTTTCGTCAATACAACTGTTATTCGATAAAGTTATTATTGTAATATTTTGAACAATATCTAATCATTTTTCTATTAAATCGTTTCTGAACAGGAGTCGTCTCTAATAAAGGGGATTTCCCTTACATTGAAGGCGAAAATGAAAAACTTGATGAATTCACCAGCACAGGCCCAATGTGTCGATATGCAAAGGACTTACCTCTTCTTTTAAAAATACTCTCGAATGATGATAAACGGTTACAGCTGAATAAAAAGGTATGCTTTATAGCTATAAATGAAAAAAGATCGTTAATTTTTTTTCTCTTTTTTTATAACTAAGCCAGTTTTTACAGAGTAGGATACGAAAAATCGTCATCATTATCATAGTTGGCCAGACAGCCCAATGTGGGGCCAATGCCTTCCTCTGAAGATTTCTCTATAACGATTTCCTATTTATCTTTGATCTCCAATTCTTTTCATCAATTGCAAGAAAATCGGACTCCACCGATTCAGCACATCTCAATCGTGGCCTTCCCCCCTTTTTTGTTAAAGTGAGTCTAAAAAGCAATATCTTTTTTATTGCATTGTCATGACTCATTCGAATCACGTGGATCATCAAATTCATTCTATTTATTTTTATGTACTTAATGATATCTGGTTGTTTATAAATCTTACACAAAGTTAAATCTCCTTCTCCAGTTATTGTTTTCATTTACACCACCAAGTATACTCCGCAAAATCTTTCTCTCAAATATTGCGATACAATTTTTCTCCTGTTTTGTCATTGTCTTAGCTTCAGAAGCATATGTCAAGACTGGCTGAACAAAAGTTTTGTAAATTAAGAGCTTTGTTTTTCTAGAATTAAACGTAGATTTAATAAATCTTCTCAGCCCATAGATAGCCCCATTTGCCAGATAGAGTTGATAGACGAAAAATAACAAAATTAAAATAGGTAATTGTTTTGAAAGTTGTGGTTTCTAGCTTTTGTGGAAGTCAGAATTTTACCCTGTTCTACGTTGTATAATATTTTTAAATAATATATTGCGACATAATTAATATATAATACTCTGCCGGTATAATATTTTTCCCGACATCGTGAATGTACAGAAAGGGAAGATTTCAGAAAGGAGAAAATCTTAAACATTTCTCTGCAGACAAGTAAAGTATTGTTTCCTATTTGTTTTGTATGCAAAATTGAATGAGACCAAAACCAATTTCACAGGATTAATAGTGGAGAATTTAAAGATCTTACTACGCATAATGTATAAAACGCACAATTTTTGACTTATATCTATATTTAAGCGTCGGACATTTCTGTCTAGTCAAGTTATTTGTTTCTTATTGCATTTATTGTATTTGTTTATCGTATTATTTGTTTCTTATTCCTTTGTATTTTATTACGCTAAATCAAATTAAACTGAAAACAAGTTTACACAGCAAATAATTGAGAAGGTTAGAGTTTAATGGATGATACAGAAATAATTGTTTTTACATTATGAGGATTATATGCTCTAATGTGTTTAAGTCGAAAAGTTATGGTTACAAATCACTAGTAACTGTTGTTTCATTTGATTCGGTGAGTGCAAACATATGCATGAGAAATGGAAATTGGTTATTGTTATTGGTTATTTTCTTATGCGTTTTTTTGTACTGAAAAATAATATCTCCCAGAAAAATGATATATTATTTCCTAGTGCAAAAATGTGTATAAGAATATTTTCTCCCTTTTCAGGGTAAAATGTTTTGAGTTTCTTTTTTTTTCTATTTGAACCATCATTAAATTGTAGAAGTTAGCTAAAGCTCACCTCATAAAATTAATTTTTTAATGATAATTTTAGTGAACCTCAACCAAAACTTTTAAAATTATATCTTAATAAAACTTTTAAAATAAAATATAAATTCCCTCAAATATTTCCAAGTTCAGTTTTTTTTATCGACACAGGAACTGACCTTAATATTTATTGACTTCATAAAAGTATTTTATATCAGTGCATCATGTATTTGATTTTCTTTTTTAAAAATATTACCAAATGATGGCAAACGGTTATAACTAAACTGTGAGATATGCATGCGATAAAAAAAAAAAAACAATGATGATAAATTGCACTAAGAAGACGTGATATAAAAAAAAATTTGTTACAACTTTTAAGTTTCAATGTCATTCTGCCACAGTTTTTTTTCAAAAATTAAAAGAAAATATTGGTCAAAGAGCTGATCTGTAATTGATTCTCATATTTCATTTCAGGTGGATTTTTCGAAAGTAAAAGTTTACTACATAGAAGAGTTTCCAGGACTAGCTTTTTCTCCTACGCCGTCAATCAAGAAAACAGTAAGGAGAGTAAGTACAGTTTCTCTTTAAAAGGGAATAACACAACATTCTTTAACTGCCCCATATGCTATAAAAAACGCTTAGGTCTATTAAAAAAGCATTCAATGTCATACAATTAAGACTAATTCTGATTTATGCGTATTTTGCCAAACATATTAACTCCTTTAACATTCTTTTTAAACATTCTTTTCCTACACAAATATAAAACTCGTTTTTCGAAAAAATGATTCAATGCGAAAAATAAATTATATTAATTATTTAATATTTTTTTAAGAAATTGATCACTTTGAGTTTTTGCTAAAATTTGTTGTTGCTTTTGTGTCCAATCCTTCAGGATCTGGCAACAGCTAGATCAAATCCATGAGACCGTGAACTCTAGCAAAGTCAAGCACCAGAAGTGGGCTATCACGGATATCCGCAAGAGCGAACCCCAAGCAATCGAGGATAGGATCGGGGGAGGTCGGCATCAGATGGCACTTGATGCACGTTGGGAAGACTTTGCGGCCGCATTCAAAGGTCATGCATTTTAGGTGCCCACTGATAAGTCTTGAAGCGGCGTTTGAGCCTGTCTGTCAGCCTCAAGATCCAATGCGCATCCTCGTCTTTTCCTACAGAACCAGGGATGGGCAGGTGGGGAGAGCCAGACCTGCCGGTCTCTATCTTTCGTCACTGAGAAAATCTCTTGAAAAATGAGGTCATAGTCGGTAGTTGCCATCTCAGAGCAGCCTCTTTTAGCCAAGATATCCGCAACTTCGTTTCCAGGCACGTTGACGTGAGAGGGGATCCACTGAAAGTGGACCTCCCTACGATTTGCAAGAATTTTGAGCATATTGATTATTTGAATGCTTACGAGACCTTTAACTCGACTCCAATCCTGTAGATGTTGAATTGAGCTGCGGCTATCTGTGATAATCCAAATATCGCTAGAGTCAGTGGAGTGGAGGATGGTTTTTAAACCCTCCTCAATAGCTATTAATTCACTCCTAAGTACCGAACAGTTATCTGGGTCTCGTCTTAAGTCTTGCTAAAATTTAAAAGACTGATATAGTATTTTAGAAATCGGCGTTAAATAATTGACGTTTTTTCTGCATTTAATTGTATACAATATCTAAAACGAATCTAATCTATTAATTTTATTTTTAAATTTAAAATATTGTCTAACAATTGCAATTACTTAAACTGTGTAATAAGCACTGATTTCTACTAATATTTGATGGAAGCATTTAACAGTTTGTTTACAAACACAAAAACGAAGTAGCCGACGTTTTTAAGAAATAATCGATTGATCCGTTAGCTGCTTGAGGTATGTTTTTAAAAACCTGCATTTTTATTGGTTCATAGCAGGCGAGAGGAAATAAGGCTGATAAAAAATAGTTCGTACTTTTTTAAGAAGATATGAAATAATGTGCAATTATTGAACTTTAAATTTTGCGTAATAAAAATACTGCGAAATATATTTTTTTATTTAAATGAAAATTAAAGTTGCCACTTTTTCATTGGAACGAACTTGAATGATAAACTCCCTTGGCACAGGGTCTATAAATATCAGATTTGCTCATTCAGTTCTTCAAACTTGAAACCCGTTTTGGCAGGAAACGGGGTGAAAGGAACCACAAACTTCAGCACTATATTACTCTTCCTAACTCCCATTCACTTCCCTAATTCTAGGCGATAAAAATTAATAAAAAGTAGCCAAAATGTACTTAATTTAATAAATAATTTCTAATCCCATCATTTAAAAACCATAATTTCTTTTAACAGTGTTAATGGAGCCATGGCGGCTCAGGAGATAAAGAGCTCACCTCCCAATGAGGTGGCCCAGGTTCGGAAGCCCGGTAGATGCGAATTCATCAAGAAAAAGTATTATGAAAGAAATTTAGCTTAATATTAAGTAAAAGTAAAATATTTTAAAGTGGGGGACAAGATTTATGGTAGCGGGCTCCATAATGACAAGCAGTAAAAGAGGGGAACTGGGTTCAAATACCAGCGATGGCTGGTCAATACGAAATTCCGAAACTAGCTCTCACCGACCACAGTGCTGACTTAAAAAGTTTCAGTGGTAGACGGATTATAGGTTTGAGTCCGATTGCCATCAAGCTAACCATGGGAGATTTTCGTGGTTTTCTCACTCTATGTAATGCAAAAATGGATAAGTTCCATCAAAAACTCTTCCACAAAGGCAAATTTCCCGCAATCCTTGATCCAGAAGTTCTTTTGTCTTCTAGGTTGTGTTCAAAACTACAAGGCTACGGAGTTGAGCATTAACAGTCGTATACCCTAATTTTAGTCGACTGTTCAACGACGGTTATAAAATGTAAAATAAAAAAGTACGAAGAATTAGAGCCGTGACTGCTCAGAGGGTAAAGCGCTCGCCTCCCAATCGGATAACCCGGATTCGAAACTCTGTAATGGCTGATAGATATGAACTCCGCACCAGGCTCGCACTGACCACAGTGCTGACGTAAGATATCCACAGTGGTAAGCGGATCAAGGGTTTGAGTCCCTTTGCCATCAGACTAAACAAAAAAAAAGGTTTTCGTGGTTTTTCTCATCATGTAACGCAAATGTAGGCTAGTTCGATCAAAAAATCCTCCACGAAGGTAAATTTCTCCCAATCCTTTATACATCAGTTCCCTTGTCTTCTGGATTGGGTTGAACATTGGTCGTATACTAAAAATTGGGTCTGCTGTTTAATGACGCAAGTATAAATTAAAAGGAAATAACAGTGTAAAAGAATTGAAATTTAACAAAAAGAATTACCACAAAATCTATCTTTTTTCATTTAGTTAAAATGATTCAGAAATTTTAAAATAACTGTAAGATAAGCTAATTGTAAGCATGGGGAGATTTAAGTGATTAGGGTGATTTCTCTAACATTCAGGTTATTCCGTATCATCAACATCGTGACCTAAACAGTTTAGTGGTTATAAGTGGTATATTTATCTTTATAGGTGGTATACTAATTTACCATATTAATAATTATATTAATCTACCACCACTGTACATTCGATAAACATTACTTCTTTTCATTTTCTGATAATATTTATCACCCACGAAAATAAAAGAAACAAAACACAAGATTGTTGATCATCTTCTAATAAATTTAAATAAATATAAGTTTAAAAAAGATCATTTCATATCTTTCAGGCTGCAGATTTCTTCGAGGAAAGATTTGGCACTAAAGCCATTCCATTGACACTCAACGAGCTCCAGAACCCGTTCCAATTGTGGCAGAGTAAAGTTCTCGAAAAGAATTTAGAGCCTTTCAAGTTAATCTTTGCAAATGAAAATGGACAAGTTCATCTGGGATGGGAGTTTCTGAAAGTGATTTTTCGTCTTTCAAATCACACTTTGCCATGCCTGTTCTACGCCGCTATTGAAAAACGAGATAAGGACCAATTCCATTATGATTGTTTACAGCAGTTTGCCTCACTAAAGCAAAAGTTTTTAGACATTTTTCAAGAAGATTCAATTGTTTTGCTACCTACGCATCCGGAGCCACCGCCTTTCAGTCATTTAACAATCCCAAAATTCAATAATATTGGCTACACAGCCATATTTAATGTCTTAGGATTTCCCGTAACTAACATACCTGCAGGCATAAGTGATGGCTTACCCATTGGATTACAGGCAGTCAGTGGACCTTTTAAAGACCATCTAACGATTGCTGCAGCTGTAGAACTTGACAACCTATTCGGAGGATGGAACAGTCCTTGTCCTCTTTCATCTAAATAATAACGCTGCATTCATAAAGTTTTTCCTAGAATGATTGTGATTGAAATTATATTGACTGTTTAAAAAAGCATCATTCGTTGAAACAAATATTTTTTAATATTTTTCCAGAAACTGAAATTACACCGAAGAGCCATTACATTATGACCACCCTTCTAATAACATGTAGGATCACCTTTAAACCTCAAAACTGCTATCACCCGCCGTGGCATTGATTCCACAAGGTGCTGATAGGTGGTCTGAGGTATCTGGTACCAAGCGCTCACCAACTGGTCCTGCAATTCCCTCACATTGCGAGGGGGTAGCGTGACAGCACGAATTTGGTTTTCTAAGTAGGACCACAAATGCTCTATTGGATTAAGGTCAGGTAAATTTGGGGACCAAGGCATGACTTGAAAGTCACTGGAATGTTCCTCGACGATTGAACCTATATGAAATTGTGCATTATCCTGTTGGTAAACACCATCCCCCGCAGGAAAAACTGTTGCCATGAATGGGTGAACCTGATCTGCAACTATGTTCAAGTAGCTTACAGACCTCAGGGATAGTTCGATGAGGATTATGGGTCCTAATGTGCCCCATGAAAATATTGTTCCTGGGCGAGAAACCATGAAAACCTGGGCGAGCCCATTGTTATAGATGGAGGGTGGTCATAATGTAATGGCTCTTCGGTGTATTTTCCTCTCTGCGCATTATGAACCCTCATCGTTTACAAATTTCATAACGTTAGCTATACAAGCAATATTCAATATCCTAGGATTTATCATACTAGCACTATCAGTAATAGCTCATCCATTGCATCACAAGCAATTAGCAGGACATTGAACGACTATTTAACGATTTCTGCTGATGTAGAGTTTGTCAAGCTGTTAATATAGATGAATCAACTCCTGCCTTTTCTAAATCAAAAATTTATGTACAATCATGAAATGTTATCTAAATTGATTAGGATTAATGAATAATATTATGGTTGTTTGAAATGAGATGATACACTGAACCAAAGATTTTTAAATATTGTTTTGGCGACGCATTTGTTTTGCAAACCATGAACATTTCATAAAATTCTGACACCAAAAACCACTACAAGCAACTTTCAGTGATTAATATCATAAATTTCAAACATACCTGACAAGCATACTTCTTGACAAACATATTCGATGAGAACGAAATTGAATGCTGGCAAGGTATCTTTTAAGGATCATCTAAAGATAATTCTTGCTTCAACAACGAAGATGCTGTTAGAAAGATTCGCCATTGTTTTTTTTCAATAAAATAACTGCTGTATCATCTAGTTGACTGATCTCAAATTACTTAAAATAATATATGGCATATACTTTTGCATTGTATTTAACTGTACAAGAGTGTTTATATTGTATTTGATTGTACAAGACTCTCTATATTGTATTTGACGTACAAGACTGTTTATATTGTACTTGACTGTGTGTTATTTTATTTTATAACCGGTGCTGACAAGTCGACCCAATTCTGAGTTTATTACTATCAGTGTTTAACTTTGTGGCCTTGAACTTTTAAACCCATCCCAGAAGGCACGGGAAGTCCTAAATAAAGTATTGGGACAAACTAGTCTACCTTTCTTATGGAATTAACCCCCATTTGCATCACATGGGAAGGAAAGCTTTGAAAACCTCCCTAAGTTAGCCCGATGACAAGAGGATTCTAACCCTTGATCTGTCTACAACCGAGGATGTATTTAGATCAGTACTGTGGTCGGTGCGAGCCAGGAGTAAATTCAGATCAACCAACTGCCGCTGGGACGCAACAACCCACTTTTAACTGTAACTTGTCAGAACTTAATTTGTCCTATTATAGGAACTCCAATCCTAATTAAATGCGATATATACCAAAAATGCTTCCTTCTGATACTTTTTTCTCTACTAGCAACTTTTTAAAGAAATACGAAAGCAGATGTAGATCCAAATAAACTTATTCATCATTAAAAATTAAGATAAACGTTAAAAAAAATACTAGATATGTTCAAAATGATGATCAGTAAGCTTTTTGGACAAATTTTTAAAAATCGTCTCCTTACGTCCCTATTGTGTAAAAAGATCTCGATACTTTTTTAGATTATTTCAATAAATGTATGTGAAAAGTGTTGTTTCGATCGTTTAATAACATTAATTTTTTTGCTACATTTTACCCATAAATATTTATGTAAAGAAATTGATTAATCTACTTTATGAAGTCAATAACTTTTTAATGATGTCTTAGTATTGTACTGTTATCTAGAGGGGATTCAGGACACTTGAAAAGTATAACAGTGAAAAACAATTTGATGTAGAATGTGTGGGATATGTGATGTTCTGGCTATAGTTCGGCTTTTTACTATATTGACCAAAACATTTCAAATCAGCATTCAGCTCAAAGTTTTATTATGGATTATTAGTCGTGGACAGACTTTATAATTCTTAGATAGACTTTTGATAAATTATCATCTATAATAGAGCATATGCTAAAAAAAAATTTCAAAAAAAGCAGCAAGCAGAAAGCAATTAAAAGAGATAAAAACCAATGAAAATTCCCTGTTTATTTACCACTGTATAAATATAAACATGAATGTTAGGGGGGTTTCAGATTTAAACATATATTCCATAAGATATTTTTTTAAATCTGCAAATGTGGTGGTAATCCATAAATGTACTCTTATTTGAGAAAATGAATATTAATTAATTGAGTTCCTACTACGTTCCTACGTTTGTTGGGTGATGTGCCATCCCTGGATAGTATAAGAAATACATCGTCATATGTTTCTTCCGTATTAATGCATATTTTCAATATTTTTATAATGAAGTCTTTAGTGTTTATTGGATTTTTTTGTGTAAATTATATACTGCTGTTGCAAATGTGTGATGTATTATCAATTTTTAATAAAAAAAATAATTTATTTAAATTTCTTGCCGAACTTTGCTTTTTTTTTAAAAAAAAATTAAAGACAAAGGCGTGTGAAAGGAGTAAAGACAAATGATTTGTATACTGCTAAAAAAATAAGCATGTGTGTGACCACCACAATTAATAAAATGTTAAAAGGCAAACACAGATAAATCTATACTAACAATAGGTGAAAAAACGGCTGTTCTTTGTTAAGAGAAGAGAAAAAAAATTTAATTCACGCATGTGACCTAAGAAACCATAAATTTTGATTCGTCATCTTTTTTAACCTACAAATTCTGTTTATATTTTTCTATGAATCCAAATGAGTGTAAAAAATGCAGAAAATATTAACCAACGTAGACCTAAAGAAATATACCAAGTACCGATACCTCAGGAAAATGTTTTTTGCAAGAACTTCATTTATTTAGCTCCATAATTATTCAATAGTGTTCCCACTGATTTGCAAAACGCTCCAAATAGAAGCTCATTCAAACTAAAATTCAAAGAATTTTTATATTCTGTAAACAATAGACTTATAAATATAGAACCGTTAGTGTTGAAATTTAAACTTTGGGTTCAAAGGGCAATTTCAACCACTGATCTGAAAATTAATCAGTTCAAAAAGAACGTTAGATAAACAATTTTTGCATATGTTTAGCATTAGATTTCTTTTACGAATTAATCATTTTGAAGATAATATCAGTGAAGTTTTCCAACTGCTTACAGCTCTGAGCAATCGTAACTGAAAACAAAATTAATCTTTATCTAGAATACAAAATATTGAATTTTTCTTTTCAATCCCATTTGCATTCCATTTGCATGAAAGTACCACCTCAAAGTTAAAACTTCAAGATGAATGAGGAAAAGGCTGCAAGTGGCCTCAGACACACAGATAAATTTTGATGATGATGATTATGCTGTCACTTGGCAAGGCTTTTTAACCTCTTAACTTTACAATTATCTCGGGCTTTTAATTTAAGGGCTTGCAAAATTTCAAAAATAAACAGTAGTCAGAAAATTTCAGTGTTTCATACCTTAACACTTTTTTCAAATAATTTGAAGAAGTTGGCAACCTTAAATGTCCACCATTTTTTTAATAATGTCAGTTTTCTTTTTTGCTACAAAACGCAGGGATACCAACTGCACCGCTTTCTGCTACTAATAAATTAAAAGTAAATTAAATATTAAAACTCTTAAAATCAGGATAATTAATGCTTTCTTTTTAAAGAAGACGATGCGAGATTACTGCAATAAATTTGCATTTCATATAATACTTTGAATATTTGATATACTTAAAATAAACAATACTAAAACTAACTTAAATTTCGTTTCCCCTGGAGAATAATTTTTTTACAAAGCTGAGAAGGTTAACTTCTCTGAAAATGTTGCATTAACGCTTCCTTGACGGGAAAAGGATAAGCTAGAAATTTCTCAGATTATCTTGCTTATATGTAAGCATAACCTAGCATTAAAATAACTTGGGCCCTCATTTGGCCAATATTCATGAATCTTGACTCAATAAAGGTTCAAAGGGCCGTTATTTTTTTGATATTGGCTCTTTATAGAATTTTCCAATTCATCCTATATTTTTCAGCCACTTTACAACCAATATCGTTCTTTTATGGAATTGCAAAATTCACCCGATATTTTATATCCATTATTTAGCCACTATGGGTTCTATATTGACCAATATTGGCCCTATATAGGCCATCTTAGGACCAGTATTTAAAAATCCAGCCATCCCAATATTGGTCTCTCGATGGTCTTATTATTATACTCGATTGGTCTTATTATAGGACCCATATTGAGCTAATTTTAAGCCTAACTAGGGCCAAAGTAAAATTGTTGCTAGGTTAGTTATCCTAATATATAAGTAATAGATTTTATCATGTGAAAATACTAATTTACTTTAAAATATACTAAGAAATAAAACTATACTTAAAATTAAAATAACTGATGGTAATTTCAATATAATAATTTTTAACATTCCCTGGAAAACAATCTTTATTAATCATTTTATTGGAAATATATTTCAAAATCAAGGACATATTCATACCGCATCGAAGTACACAAACTAGCAGCTGATTATGTTTAAGATTGCAATAAACAATTACCGACTCATGATGACATTAAGTTATCATTGGACCAAGAAAGAGATTTCGTTCTTTAGTTACTTTATTAATATTTTTTTTAAAAAAGAAGATGGAGAAACGTTTCATAAAAAAAAGAAACAAAAAGAATGTAGGACAGAGGTCACAGTGATTATGGGATCTACAGACATCACGTGTTCTGTGTCAAAACTTTGTTTTTTATAAAACGCTTGAAAAAAAAGAACATTTTTAACATTTATTGAAGCGTATTTATTGAGTT